CCTCCCTGTTTAGTATTCCAGTTCAATTTGTTGGTTCAGCAAATCCTTACCCTCTTTGTTTATCCTAATCTTTGGTCTTAAAATAGTAACGTTAGATTTTTACCTATTAACAACCCATTTTTCATATTCCCTTAAAGCATTACAGCTGGAAACCACTTGATTTCTATCCAACATCATTCTAACATTCATTAATTTTACAATATTTCTGTAGATAGTCTTTGAATTTCTTCCAATCTTCTTCCACCGACTCTTCTCCCTGGTCTCGGATTCTGCCAGTCATTTCTGTCAGTTCCATATAGTCCATCAGCTTCATCGCCGAAGAATTGATGCTTTTGAATTATGGTGCTGGAGGAGACTCTTGAGAGTCCCATGGACTGCAAGAAGATCAAACGTATCCATTCTTAAGGAAACGGATGTGCTCACTGGAGTGCTCACTGGAAGGACAGATCCTGAAGCTGAGACTCCAATACTTTGGCCACCTCATGAGAAGAGAAGACTCCCTGGAAAAGACCCTGATGTTGGTGTTACCGGAAAAAACCGAGGGCTCCCTTGGACAAAAACAAAGACACCAACCAGGATAACTTGGAGCAAAACAGCAGCCTGTAGGCTTGGCCTTTATTGAACTGTTACAACAGGGTGCTCCCCTCACTTGCAGGAGAGAGGAAGGACCCAGAAAAATGGTGTGCAAGACCTTATAAAGACTTTTGAAATTGCCACCCTGTAGATCAAGACCACCCCCAGAAACATCATACATACATCACAGAAGGGGTGTAACCTAAGACCACCCCTCAAATACATACATCACAGAAAGGAGGGGTTGAGTTGTGGTGGTAACCTGAGTGTCCTGTCACCTGGCTGGTTCCCCCTTTCCCCCTCCCCATGAGTACTTTCCAGGTGACAGAGGGGAGTTTGCAGTTTCCTGCCCCCAGAGGGAAGAGCTGATTATTGTCCTTTGTTCCAGTCCGAGCTGAATCCACTCCCATATGCAAGTTCTTTGTGATCTTGATGGTCTTCTGACTAGGACCATCAGGGTTGGCATAGCAACTGGGCAGGGCTCCTGTGTATGTACTGGTATGCTCAAGGATTATGGCTGCCCTGCATCAAACCTTCCTCATTTTGTAGTCCTTCCTTCATGGAGTAAAATAAAAGTGGAACAGTGCAAATCCGATGTACGGTTATTTTCTATGAATTTATAACAGAAGCATAGCGTATGTAGTGTGTGAGTGTGAGTGAAGTTTGTACAAACTGAATGATTGGGGGGGGGGGGGTTCCTGCTACATTGGGAAAGATGGGGGGGGCACAAGGAGAAGGGGACGAGAGAGGACGAGATGGTTGGACAGTGTTCTCGAAGCTACCAGCAAGAGTTTGACCAAACTGCGGGAGGCAGTGGAAGACAGGAGTGCCTGGCGTGCTCTGGTCCATGGGGTCACGAAGAGTCAGACACGACTAAACAACTAAACAACAACACTAGCCATGTAGGCAGTGCTTTGCCTCCACATTCAGAGGCAGCAATGCTACTTAATATCAGTTGTTGGAAACTGTAGGAAGGGAGAGGGCTCTTGTGCCCAGGTCCCGCTTGCTGGTTTCCTCTCATGGGCAACTGGATGGTCACTGTGAGAGCAGGACCAGTTGAACCATTGGCCTGATCGAGCAGGCTCTGTATTTGTTCTTATGGCCAATCATTAATTTACATTGGCTTACTTCCTTCCGCAGTTGATTTCCTCTCAGATCAAAACCATGCATCCTCTCTTGTGGAGCATCAGGAGGATCAAATCCCAGAATAGCAGGAATGGGACACCCCCCACCCCAGGTTTCCCAGCATTGCAGAGCTGCCTGGTCTGTGAGTCCCCAACATTCACACCTCATGCTAATGATGTTCTCTTTTCCTTAAATGCAACAAAGACATTGCAAAGAACATCTCCAGCTGAGTGCTCACGAAGGTGCTGGCAGCAACTGAACCAACCCCTAATTTAGGTCACCTTGTGTATCAACCACAGCTAGTTCAGAATATTCCTAAATTTAATTATCAGAGGATAAAAAAGACAGACACAATTTGACATGATTTCCTCTCCCTTACATTCTGCCTCAACGTCTCTGCCCCCACCCTCCCACTCCACACATTGAGCTGCATTTTATTCTACTGGGAACATTGAGGGTCCTCCTAGCAGCCCCACCTTGAAATAAAGCACAAATGCTTATTCTGCTCACATCACTTCATGTTTGCATCACATTTCCCTTTAGTTATTCAATTTACTTTGGTTGCCTCCCCTTGCATTACCCTCCCCCATTTTGGATTCAAGTTGGCCTTTTCATTCTGTGCTTAAACAGCTCTCTCTCACATACACACACCTCAAAGCACAGACAGTCTCAGGCCCATGCCAGGGAGTTCTTGTAGGTCCTTTCCAAGGCTTGCAAGACCTGCTGCTCTGCACTTTAGCAGGGATTTTGTGTTCAACGTGCTAAAAGATTAAAAAGCTGATGGAACCATCTTCAGGCTCATCCCCCTTGTCCTATGCCTAGAAACCACAGGTCTGAGCAGTATCTGTGCTTTCTATGCACGAGTCTGAGTGGTTTCTCCCTTGCCCCACTCCTTTGCCGGGGGAACCCCACTCTTTAGTGCTACATCAGAGCAAAAGTCAATATAGAGACAACCCGTTTGTTCTAATTGAGTGCTAAAGAGACATTTTCCTCGGGGGAAAGCAGTGGGGAGAGAGGAAGTATGGATAAGCCCTTATTGAAATATTGCAGTTGGGTGCATGTTTGTGCATGTAGGAAGACAGGGACAAGTTACAAAAAAACAACTTGCTGCTGTCCTCCAACCCTAACCATGGCCATTTCCCCATGACTATTGAGCATGGGCAAATGTTCACAGGCAGGTGTGTGAGAGAGAATGCGCTTCCACCAGAAAGAGGGTTGAAAAGTGAGATGAGCGCCACACCCCAAAGTCACCTTTGACTGGACTTAGCCGTCCAGGGGTCCTTTACCTTTTACCTTTGCTGGAGGGAGGGCCTTCCTTAATCCATCTTCAAGCAGAGCCCTGCTGAGCTGCACACTGTGGGAGCTGAACTATATGACCTCTGAGAATCCTTCCAACTCAGCAGTGCTGTGAAAAGCAGTATCAACACAGTGCTGCCCACCTGCAGCCCACCTGTGACACAGAAACATTCCCTAGCAACAACTTCATGGCTCAAGCACCACCACTGATGGGTTTAGGAAAGCCTTCTGAGCCTCCCTGTGACCACAACAGGCAATACTGGGCTCAGTGAAAAAACTGTTCTGACCTGCATGGAGGTAGCTTTCCATCATAGGAAAGCCAGGGGGTCCACCTCCCCCTTCCCTAATACCTCCTATGGCAACACCTATCCGTCACCGTGCTCTTTATGTCAATCATCTACATGGCAACAGGCCTGTGAATCAATCCTCAATCCTTTGCACAGGAAGCCTTGGTTTGTTTGCAAAGAGAGATTGAGAGGGAGGCAGTTTGCACCTGAAACCCACCCTCCCCAGGCCAGGAGATCCTGGCTTGGCCTACATGGGCAGCAGGTGCCTGTGGGTAACCTCAGAGCCAGCAGTACTTGTCCAGGGGGCAGCACTATGTATGTGGCAGGGGAGGGGAAACCCCCATGCAGGGCCATTGACCCATCCTCCCTTCCCAAAGCCAGAGGCCAAGGACAGGTGTCTCTCCCCATCCCCATCCTGCTAGTCCTCAATGCAGCCACTCAGGCCAAGTAGCTCCTGCCTTGCAGCTGAATCCTGGCTTGGTCTCACCAGGAGCTCCTTCTCCAAATGTTGGGCCTGCTGCAAGGTAGTGAGGTTCACCCTCCCGCTTCCCCAGAGTCCCTGTGAAGCTCGTTTTGTGACTGAATTGAACATGACACATCATTATTCGGATCATATTCCACAGTGTCAGAGCCCATCTCCCAGTCTGCCTGGATTTTCTCTCTGAGAAGAGGGCCTGGCTATCCCTGTCAGCGTCTTTTCCACATCCCACATGATCGCTCCCAGAGACAGCCCTTTAATGTAGCACTCACTCGTAAAGTATGTTCTCTTTAAAACATTTATTTGCAATTTACATCATGAGTAAATATTAATGGGATGAGGCTTTGAGCAAATGGAAACAGATTGTGAGGCTGACAGCAGGGGCAACTGCCTTCCCTGTGGCTTACACCAGTTCAGGATCCTGTTCTTCAGGGAGATGCTCTGTGCTTTTCACTGAGCTGTGCATTTTCCAGCTCTGGTGAGGACTGCATTGACTGCCCCCATGTCCATTTATTTGACCTGAAAGGGGGGGGGGGTGAAGTAGAAAGGTCCCCTACGACCACCTCCCCTCATTCTGTTTAGCAGATTTGTGTGAAATGGCCAGTGCTGAAAGCACCAACTTTGATGGGAAAGCTGGCTGCTTGCATCCAGCACATTACATTTCCAGCTACCTATAAGAACATAATATTGGGATGTGAATAGATGCTAGGAGAGGATATAAAGGTAAAGGTAAAGGGAACCCTGACCATTAGGTTCAGTCGTGACCGACTCTGGGGTTGCGGCGCTCATCTCGCTTTATTGGCCAAGGGAGCCGGCGTACAGCTTCCGGGTCATGTGGCCAGCATGACCAAGCTGCTTCTGGCGAACCAGAGCACCACACAGAAACGCCGTTTACCTTCCCACTGGAGCAGTACCTATTTATCTACTTGCACTTTAACGTGCTTTCAAACTGCTAGGTTGGCAGGAGCAGGGACCGAGCAACGGGAGCTCACACTGTCATGGGGATTCAAACTGCTGACCTTCTGATCGGCAAGTCCTAGGAGAGGATATATTTATTAGTTATTATCCCTCCTCCCTCATGTTTGTGAGTTCAGCAGTGCTATCCCATTGCAGCTTAAAAGGGTATCTTAGGCTAATTTTAGCCTTTTCTTTCAACTAATTCAGGATGCTTTAAGGCAGACTGGATTTTCCTGGAGTTTCCCCCTTTACTCCCCCTTAAAACAATAACCACACAAACAGTCTTGTAAAAGGTAAAAATAACATTTACTCACTCAGAATACTTTTTGAAGAGTAACAGATACAGCAGCTTTGTTCAGGCAGGCTTAAAATGGTAATTCAGTTACAAAGACATACTTAAGTCTAGCTTAAAATGGCGTCTGAGCTGGAGCTCAGACTTGGCAGATGTTCTCACATTGCTGGCACAGCAGAAAGAGATGAAAAAGAATAAGGAGAGTCTGCCAAGGCAGGCAGGAGAATATATACATCTACACCCTCCCCCCTGTCAGGGCACAGTGGGAGCATCTCTCGCAAAGTTCTCTAGCAAGTTTACAGGAAAACTCTGTGAGCTTCAGCTCCTATTATGTGCCTATCTAGCAAAACATGAATTGTTGATTTGACAGCCTTTTAAACATCCCACACATAAGATGAGCCCTGCGGAATCAGGCCAATGGCCCATCTTTGTGTAGTATCCTGTTCTCACAGTAGCCAGCCAGATGCCCCAAAAGGGAAGGAGCAGGACCTGAGCACAAGAGCCCTCTCCCCTTTGTGATTTTCAGCAACTGGAATTTAGAGCTGTTTGGTCTCTGGCCATGGAGACAGAGAACAGACATTGTAATAAACTACAAGGGTGGGAGTGGTGATGGAATTCGGAGGATATGCAGTAGGGTGAGTGAGGGGACAGCAATGGCTTTTTCTCAACTGAATATTACAGACAAAAGCATTTTAAATGTGTCAAGCCTACATACTTGATCATAGAAAGCCTCCCTGGCTACGGCAGCAACCCCAAACCACTATATGTCCTAGCCAACATGGGTCAAGAGGGAAGCCTCACAGTCTCCAGGGGCAGCAACTCTTTAGACTGGAGGGGGCTGGTAGCTGCACCCTGCAATCCCAGCTTTGGCAAGTGAGGAGGAAAGGAGAGGCAAACTTCAAAGTCCTCCTTTTGTGCAGACCTTTACTGGAGGAAACTCAGAGATAGAGATAAGCAATCCAGTACACAATGTTGAACAGCAGGAAGGCTGTGGGGAAGAAAACCCGGGAGTAGGAGTCCAGGCGGGAAATGTGGATGCGGATTCTGCCCTCTCGCCAGGTGCCCGTCTGACAGTCCTCAATGCAGCAGAAGAACCGCTGGCACTCCTTCCCTTCCAAGCAGGAGGGCTCCAAATCTTCGCTCTCCACCTCTTCACTGTTGCCCTCGACTTCAGGGGGCCAGTGCACCAGGCTGTTGATGTTGATGGCAGTGTAGGAGGGCATCATCAGGTGGGCATGGCTGGCTGCCTGGAGAAGGACGAGGAGCAAATGAGAGAAGCAGAGAAGGGGCACAGGGGCTCCCCCCCTAACCTTGTGGAAGTGGCAATCAAGTGCTGGCTTGGAAGGTGGTAGCAGGCACAGCTCAGGGGTGTCCTTTTCTCCATCCCTCTGGCACAACTTTCAGGGGGGAATAGACCAGCTTGACCCCCTCCCTAACCAATTAGCCCAACTGCCTTCTGGGACAAGATTTGGGGCCCCCAAAGGATCATCTGGAGTGAGGAGCCCCCCACCTCGCCCCACATCCTTTTTAATGCAAATTCCTGATGAACTTTGCGCTGTTGACGCTTTTGGGGTGGTTGCACACTCCAAAACCATCAAGAGCACAAAAGAATACTATTTGCAGCTGCAAAAAGCTTCAGGGCAGTCACAATGCTTCACTTCCAGTCATCACATCTCCCGTAATTTGCTGCTTGAAACCTCATAACTTTGTTATACTGCAAAACGCTCTGGTTTATTTTTCTCTGGCTTTTCCCTCTGGACAGCAATAATGTGGTAGCATCAGGGTAATACCACAGAGCTACTGATAAGGCAGAATAAATCTACCACTAATGTGCTATTTATTGCATCAAGAGCATGTTGCAGAAAACATACCGGCTACAGCAAAATGCCAGCCTGGATTGGTCCCTCATCACTTTCCTCCCTCTGATGGCTCCTTCCTTTACCTGGATCCTTTGGAGGGTGAGGCACCAAGCTCTGCCAGGCAGTGTCCCCCCCGCCCCGCCATCCCGCTCACCAGTCTGGGTTTCCTGCTGCTATGCTGTGTTGGCTTCTTGTTTCCTGCCAGGTAATTGAGGGTGGCATACTCCATGAGGGCTGCAAAGACGAAGATGAAGCACACTGAGACAAAGAGGTCCATGGCAGTGATGTATGAGACCCGGGGCAGGTGCTTGCGGGAGATGGTGCTCAGGGTAGTCATGGTGAGCACGGTGGTGATTCCTGGAAATAGGAGAACACCTGGGTGAAACTGCTGGACGCCTTGTTGAAGGTACAAGTTTAATTGTATATAAAATGTATTTAATTGCATTGTATTCAAGTTGTTGTAAAAGAAGCTCTACGCATATAGCTAGTAATTTTTCCACTTGGTGTGGTAGGCTACCTAGTGACTAAGCCTTGTGACTAGATCAGGAATACAGTGGTACGTCCAGTTACGAACTTAATTCGTTCCGGAGGTCCATTCTTAACCCGAAACTGTTCTTAACCTGAGGTCCGCTTTCACTAATAGGGCCTCCCACTGCTGCCGCACCCCGGCGCGCGACTTCCGCTCGCATCCCAGGGCAAAGTTTGCAACAAGGGACATCTACTCCCGGGTTAGCGGAACTCGTTACTCGAAGCATTTGTAAGGAGGATGGTACGTAACACGAAGTTTCACTGTATTAGATTTGCTACTCAACAGACAAGCTGTAATTTGAGTGCTTTCATGTATGTGTACAAGTGGTGGCCATTTTAGGCACATTCAACTGACGTGCAATTGCCAATGTGCAGGTCCTTTTGGACCTGGAAGAGGGCAGAATGGAGGAGGAACAGGGTGTAATGCTTATAAGCACTCCACCAATGTGCGTGGGGGCCAGGAACAGAACACCCCCCCACACACAAAATGGTTGCCACCTGTATATATGTAAATGAGACTGTTTGCAACACAAAGATGCAGGTAGGCTGTTGCCAGCAAGCAGGAGAAGGACAAAAACAAAAACACAGTATGCTGACTTTAGCAGAAAGCTACATTTTAGTAAAGACATTTAAAACTTTGCCCTAGGATTAGCGTGAGCAAGGTTTGTAAGAATGAAACTCTGTGCTTGGTTCTTTTTGCAATGTATCTTTTTGTTACTTTGTAATATTTAAAACCATGCTCTGCAAGTAAAGCTTTAAAAGTTTATTTCTTGAGCAGAAGAAAATTTATTTCTACACAAGGGTCAGATCAGATCTTCCTCTGGCACTATATCTAACATGCCTATGGCCACCAAGTGGAGTGAGTGAGCCATGGGAGACCATGGACATTGGGGCTTGGCTTCACAGGCTTCAGGGATGGGGCTGGAAGGCATCAGCACAGTTGCTGTGGAGGTGTATGAAATCCACGTGGATTGGTTTTTCAATGCTGCTACTAATAAAATCAAATATATATTCTTCCTAATTCTCCTCCCCCCCATCCACACCCATTTTAGATGATGTTTCATTTAGACCCCCACCCCCAGCCACCCACCCAAAATATTTGCCATTAAAATACCATGTTTGAAAAGCATCCTTAATTGTCTTAAAAGCCAAACAAGATTCAGGATGCAGAGAATTCTAATGAGATTGAGACAAGGAGTTGCTTTAGGCCGTGGTTGAAATTGCTGATGGAGATGGGTTTGTTCCTCCCAAGAAACAAGAAACTTGGCATCCCCCCCCCCCCGTGGGCAAAGAGGGGGTGGTCCAGAGATCCTATCATGCAGAGGACAATAATTTGGCATGTTGCAGGGCAGGAGGAAGTGCAGAGAGACAGGGGTGCAGAGACAGGGGAAGAACCAACTCTCTGGTAGGAAAAATAGCCTGCCTGGAGCCATGAGCTCTGCGTTTGTTCAAAGAGCCCACACCTCCAGCTCCAGAACTTGTCCTCTGGTCTTCTCCAGCTGTGAGTACCAGTTGCACAGATGCCATGACAGGACCTGGGGCTGGGCCAAAAAGATCCCCATGTACCCTAAACCTGCCCCACAAAAGAGGCTGTGCATGGAACTGGAACATCACCCGCAATCACCAAGTACTGCGGTGCTTATTGTTGCAAAGGTTGCACACAACCCCAATTCTGCCAAGCAGTGCATGAGATCCCAGGGGGTTCCAGATGCTCACCCAGAGATGTGTTTCTGTTGAGAATCAAGACACAGTGGAGGTTCAAGTGTCTTTAAAAAATATGGTTTAATTACACATATTTACACCTGAGTTTATGGAATGTGTGGGGCTTTAGGGGAGGGGTAGTACTTCTGGTTTTGCTCCTTCTGGGGATGTTTGTCTACCTTTGGTTCCCACCCTGCACTCAGCTCTCAACTGTGGCTCCTAGAAGCTGTCAGAATGTGACAATGGGGACACCGTGGGAAATGGTTTCAACTGACTGGCTAAACCAGGTGATGGTAGCCAATGGGTCTCAAACCCTTAGTGAGTTAGGGACTTCTCACTGCATCCAGTCTATGTTGGATTGAGCGGATGAGACCAATAGTCAGTCCAACGGTCAAGAAGGCAGTTTCTGCACATGCTGTAGAGGGAAGTGAGGAGCAGATTAGGCTCATCAACCTGGGAAGGTAGCCCATCTAAGAAAAGGTAAACTTTGATTCTATACCTCCACTGCCTTGCAGCTTTGCTCATTCATCAGAAAGGCTTCAAGAGTAAACCCTGATGAACAATCCATACCCCCTGCCTTGTGGGTCATATTTGGGAGACGAAAAGGCTAAGGAGTAAAACCTACACAAACCAGGAGTCCCTAAGGCAGTTGGATAGTGCCTTGTATGCTTCCTTTAGGCAACTCCTGCAGCTGAGTTGGTGCCAAACATATAGCTCTGCTTTCCTTTGGACCATTGGAGAGGTGCTGCTAACACAGCAGTTTCACCCCTAATGATATATTCCATTGTGTCTTGAGACAGATGACTGCCAACAACACCAGTGGTGTTGGACCTATTTGCCTTTGGGCCACAGCCCTCCCCTGCAAGGGTCTTCCCCTCCTCACAAGAGTCACTCTAATTCCCTCAGCTTCCCTCCAGCTTGCTTCATCTCTTCCCTCTCAGTTTTGAGCGAACTAGCCTTCTTGCTCCATCACGCCATGCTGCCTGGTTTAGTCATCCAACTGAGATGGAATAACCACTGTACTTAGCTCCACCTCTTGGGTGCTGCAGGGGTTAACCAGAGCTGAGGGCAATGCCTTCCTTACCCAGAGATGTTCTGGCTGGTGTAGAGTCTCTCTTGATCCAGAAGGAGACCCAGGAAAGGACCACCGTCAGGATGCAGGGGATGTAGGTCTGGATGGCAAAGTACCCCATCCGCCTGCTCAGGTCAAAGGAGACGGTCATGACTATGTACTCCCCTAGAGAAGGCCACAGAGAGGCGGGCAGGTCAGAAGAACAGGCCATTCCGCAAATCACATTGCCACCTCTGCATGCCTTTATTTTATGCTGGGCTGCTGCAGAAGTCACAGCTTCTAGCTTGAGAGGCCATCTAAAGGTACCACACATGGTCTGATACTTGTATTTTCAGTTGAGGTAACACAGGAAATGACCCAATACCTAATCTGACCGTTGGTCCATCCAGCTTAGTATTGTCTTTGCCAGGCATGGGCAAACTCGGCCCTCGAGATGTTTTGGTACTACAATTCCCATCATCCCTGACCACTGGTCCTGTTAGTTAGGGATGATGGGAGTTGTAGTCCCAAACCATCTGGAGGGCCAAGTTTGCCCATGACAGGTCTATGCTGACTGGCAGCAATGGCTCCTCAGGGTTTCAGGCAGCGAATGTTTCTTAACACTACCTGGAGATGCCAAGCATGAGATTGAAACTGGGATCTTCTGCATGCCAAGCAGGTGTTCTGCCAGACATAGGCCCTTCCCAAGGGGGAGGCTGTGCTTCTGCAGCAATGCTCAACAATGTCTGGAACTACCTTCACCACTGGAGCTGCACCTGCTCCATTTCCCTCCTTGGCTCCTAAATCCTTTTGCTCACCACTTTGTAGGAAACATGTCTGTGAGAACTCTGGGTGTGGCCGACACGAGGGTCCAGAATAAGAGACCAGGAGGAAGACCAGAGTTCAGTCCTGCCCCCCTACAGTCTGGTCTGTGTGATGATCTATGCGTGCTTACAATGTGCTGTATTTGTGCATATATGAGGAGGGGTACTTGATTGCTTTGTGAAAGGAAGGTCAGGTGGATAATTGCCCCTTGGAGAAAAATTGTTTCCTTGCTTTCTTTTAGCCAAATATTACAACATATTGGACAATGCAGGAGACATTCTGAACATTTTCAGTCACAGAGGTCAGCCTCCAGCAACCAAATTCAACTAGCTGGGAAAATGCATGATTAAGGCAGCCACCTTCCTGGAAGAAGGAACACTTGCCTTTTAGGCCTATCAGAGAGAATGGCTCCAATTAAAACCTTCTTTTTCCAAGCAATAAAAAATCCTCATTTGCAGTCTGCCAATCATAAATGGATTAAGAGTATGGATTAATCAATGCATGATTTTAGCATAAATATTTCCTTTTCCAATGTTGCTTGTAGGAGTTTTGAATGTGCTCAGTATGTGGGGCTCAGGAACTGCAAGGGGGCTTCCAGGGAACTCCAGAGAGCCCAAAGAGGTCCTGTGCCAAAGTGGAGGGGAAGCTCTGAAGGAAGGTGTTGTGGTTCCCTAAGGACAGCCTGGTACCTGCTTTTGGGAGCGGGGGAAAGAAAAGGAAGCAGATACAGCTTCTGTGGGCTCTCAGCAAGAACTGGGGGGGGGGGGGCCCAGAGAGAGGCTGCCTCTGCACCCTCCACTCCCGCCTCCTCCTGCCCTCCCAGCCCTCCAGTCTCCAAACTATTCACTTGTTTTTCATGTGAAAAAACCACCACCTACAATGTGCCCAACTCCTGTGGGACAAATGTCTTACCAGCACCTGTCCTGAGCACCTCAGATGTGTTCCTCAGACCTGTGAAGTCAAACTGGTAGAGCCTCCAAGTTCGCTGGTCAGAGACTTCAATAGAGTACCTTCTCCAGCGGTAGATGATCTCCTCTCGTGGGTAGCCATCTGGAAGGAGCAGAGCAGACACAGGCAGGAAGGTCAAGGCCCATGCAAAGTGGATTCTCTTGCAAGCCACCTCACAGCTCCTCCCTCCTGTTAATTTGATCAAAGGGGCTTTACAGCCACTGGGCTGGCTCAGAAGAACTGGTAGCCAAGGAAGATGTGCAAGGACTCTCTTTAACCACTTTAACCACCCTGCCCATCTGTGGAAGGTTCCTGATTGCATCTCCTCACCAGGGAAGTTTCCATATAGCTCAGTGGTAGAGCATCTGCCTTTCATGCAGAAGGCCCCAGGTTCAATCCACAGCAGTATCTCCAGGTAGGGTTGCAAAGAACTCCCTTCTTGAAACCCTGGAGTACCTTTGCTACCAGTCAGTGTAGACAATACTGAGATAGTTTCCTTTTTTGCTTCACATTATTTTCAGGGCAACAGAGGGGGTCAGGAGGCCATGACCTGCCTGGTGGAAGCTGGCAACCTCCCTTCCTAACAAGGGGCAAAACAGGGCAGCTGTCTACCAGCTCCATCTGGTACACAGGCTGAGACCCTACCTGCCCACAGACTGTCTCGCCAGAGTGGTGCATGCTCTGGTTATCTCTCACTTGGATTACTGCAATGTGGGGCTACCTTTGAAGGTGACCCGGAAACTACAACTAATCCAGAATGTGGCAGCTAGACTGGTGACTGGGAGCGGCCACTGAGACTACATAACACCAGTCTTGAAAGACCTACATTGGCTCCCAGTACATTTCTGAGCACAATTCAAAGTGTTGGTGTTGACCTTTAAAGCCCTAAATGGCCTTGGCCCAGTATACCTGGAGCGTCTCTACCCCCATCGTTCTTCCCAGACACTGAGGACCAGCGCTGAGGGCCTTCTGGCTGTTCCCTCACTGCGAGAGGCCAGTTACAGGGAACCAGGGAATCAGTAGCAGCACCCGCCCTGTGGAACACCCTCCCACCAGATGTCAAAGAGAACAACAACTACCAGACTTTTAAAACACATCTGAAGGCAGCCCTGTTTAGGGAAGATTTAATGTTTGATGGATTACTGTATTTTAATATTTTGTTGGAAGCCGCCCAGAGTGGCTGGGTAGGCCCAGACAGATGGGCAGGGTATAACTAATAAATTATTGTTATTGTTATTGTTATAGATCTAAGGTTGCCATATGTCTGGAATTTCCCGGACACAGTCGGTATTCGGCCCTCGTAAACAGTCACCAGGTGAAAATTGCTGAAATGTCTGGGGAAATCTGAACATGTGGCAGCCCATGTTGGAAGTGTAGATTTTGCCAAATTAAAAATAGCTCAAAGACTCAGCCTTTGTCAGAAGCTGTTTGTGGTCCTGAATGTGATCAGACTGCCTCTCTCAAAAGTATGGCTGTTACCCTCAGACGTCCTTTCACTGGGATCCCTGTGCTTTTTGACTGCTAATGATTTCAGAATATTTTATATTGTTATATTTCATTATACCTATGTTACAATTTTTTATGATTTTTACTGGGTGCATCCATTTGCTAAATAGTAACTTAGCGAACTGTTCACCCCCACATCTTAAATTATTATATAATAATATATAATATTTATATATGTTTATACAACTCAACCCACTTCGATCTGCAGAACTGGCCATGTTACAGGTGCCACACAATACTCATTCTGCATTTGGGAGGAATCAATCTTTTAGTGTGGCAGAACCCACACTTTGGAACTCCCTGCCTATTGACACCAAGCAGGTGCCTTCCCTGTACTCTTTTAAGTACCTGCTGGAAATGTTTTTTAGGCAAGCCTACACATGTTTACATACGTTTTAATCTATTTTTAGCTTATTACATCTTTTAATTATTATCTGAACATTTAATTAGCTGTTTTCAACTGTTTTTAAACAGATAATTGTTTTATTCTTTTTGTAAACTACTTTGAGGTTTTTCTTTCAATTCACGTGGTGTATAAGTTTTATGAGATAGGTAAATAAATAAGATAAATATTGATAAGATAACAAAAATAAATCACTTGGCTGGGTAATGTTTTATCTTCTTTTTCTCTTAGGATGTTTAGTGAGCCTTTTTAAAAATAATAAAGTTCCCTGTTGAACTTATGATAAATAAAATTTGCGGACATTGACTGAGGAAATTTGGAACATGGGGATCCTAAGATTCTGCCTTATGCAGCCTGCAAGTGGCCTGGTCAATGTTTTGTATGGGAGACCACCTGGGATCCCCCACCCGTGATGAGGGAAATGAAGTATACAAATGTAAGGAAGTGCCTTACCTTCTGAATCAGGCTCTTGGTCCACCAAGCACAGAGAGAGGCTCCTCTCAGCAGCTCATGGCATCCCGGGGGCTTCTTGATGGTGATGCTGCCAGGGATTGAACCCAGGACCTTCTGCGTGCCAAGCAGGTGCTGAACCACAGAGCCAAGTATGCATACATGCACACACCTCTCCCACTGCTGCTTTGGGTGGTGGTTTCCTCTTTACCATTCCTCCCTGGGCAGATACCCTTGAAAAATGTCCCAGTGACTCCTCCTCAGGGTGCCCCCATTGGGGCATTTGGAGAGTGCCCATGCCCTTAACTGGCCCATGCCCTTATTTGCTTCTGAGGAGGCAGCATAAGTGGTGGCGTACTGGTTAGGGTATTGGACTAGGACCTGGAAGACCAGGGTTCAAGCTAAGTGTGTGGCACTGTCATGTGTGAGTGTGGGAACATCTTTTCATGTCTCCTTAGCTTCCTATCCAGCCACTAGCAGCCTCTAGAAGCCCCCCAGGAACAACAATGGTGGTGGTTGAGGAGGATGGAAGCTGCCAATCCCCAAAGGGCTTGGAGATAAAGCAGCAGGAGGACACAGTGGCTGTTAGCTCCCCACATTTGAAACGGGCAGCATTGTGCAGAGCACTTCAAGTTCTTTCCTCAATCAGTGTTGTCTTTTTCATTTGCAGTGGTACCTCGGGTTACAGATGCTTCAGGTTACAGATGCTTCAGGTTACAGACTCCGCTAACCCAGAAATAGTACCTCAGGTTAAGAACTTTGCTTCAGGATGAAAACAGAAATCGCGCAGCGGCAGTGGGAGGCCCCATTAGCTAAAGTGGTACCTCAGGTTAAGAACAGTTTCAGGTTAAGAATAGACCTCCAGAACGAATTAAGTTTGTAACCCGAGGTACTACAGCCCTCCCTCTGCCCAGGGATTGGGGCACAAGCCCCTTCCCTCAGGCTGCAAATGCTTTGGGCGCCTCGCTCAGCTTTGTCTCCAACTGCTGGAGAATAATAACTGCCAGCCATGTTGCTACCCAAGGCCCCTCAACTGGGACACAGACTGTGGGCAAGACATGCAATCTGCCCCTCAGCAATGACAGCCTACCCTCCTCAGCTTGAAAGGACTCGTGACCTGTTCACCCTTGTCAGGCAAGCAAGAGATACAAAGAGCCCCTATATCCTCTGACCAGGAGGCCTTCCCCACCATTCTCTCAGCACCTGGTAAGATCCAAACAGGTCTTATGCTGCTGGGATTTATACTTGTTTACTACCAAAAATCTGACACAGATACAAGGGCTGCTCAGAAAGAGGAATGTTGGCGTGATGTGGTCTTTCTCTCAAGGAAGAGAAGGAGGAAGGGAGGGAGGGAGGGAGGGAGGGAGGGAGGGAGAAGGGGAGAGAGAGATGGCTTTGAAGCCATTTTTGCCCTTTCTGGAACATCACTGGCCACAGACAGGTGTTTAGCTGACCTTCTGGCTTGGAATGAAAGGACACGACAGCCTCTGGGACTTTGGACCCTGTTTGATCAACAATGGGCATGCAAAACTTTCCATTGCTAGTCCAAGCTGACACCCTGCTGGCTGTGACAGAGCAAAGACTTTGCAAGCCAATTAGCACATTTTTGGAAGTGTGTGTGACCCATGTGTGCCCTCTAACCTCAACAGACCACTAGTTGTATTCTGGATGGTCTCAGGGGGCTTGACAGCACAGGTTCTTATAGACAGCATCCATCATTGTTCCACTTGTAATTGTTGGGTGCAGGCTGATTTGGGGATTGATTCAGACAGTTTTCTTACTGCTCATCTTTTGCAAGTGACTCCCTGCCCCATGCACACACACACACACACACACACACACACACACAACAAACAAGGGTCTGAATCTGAGGGGGTATGGAGCTTCCACACAGCAGGAGCACAGATGTATTCAGGGAAGAGTCTCAATTTCTGAGTCCCTCCATAGGCATAAATAACATCCCCTCCCCCAGCAGTCTCACCATCAGAGTGGAAATGAGTTTCTATAAGGTTCGAGTCACGCATCAGGGCCACATGAGAAGCTATGAGGTGGGATTAGCATAGGGCCACCACTGGGCCCCATCTGTAGAGTTTCTGCATGTGCAAACCCTCCCCCCCTCCCCGGTACTCCCTGCTTCTCCCTGTGTTTAGGAAGTGAGGATGTGGCAGAGGAGGCAGGCAAAGCAGAAATGGGGACTCCAGCGAGCTGCCAGCTGCAGCTGTCTCTAGCATCCTGGTTTTCCTCTGCAAATTGAAATGTCAAAACTGTTTCAAAGCAGCGATCTTGATGCCTATATATGATAAATCCTCCCGGGGCGGTGGGAGATACCTTGTAGCATAGCTAAACTATGTTTATAATTAATTGCCAGGCATGCGTGGCATGTACTGTTAATTAGCTAAGATGCAGAGGAGATGGGGACAGGCTGGGAGGGACTGCTCAGAGCCACGTGGGTGGGCAACAGGGAGAGGGAGGAGGCTGTGCACAGGATCTGTAGCAGTGACATGACAGGCGGTGGCAGGCTGAAGGGCTGGTGCAGTCCAGGAAACAGCAGCAGCACCAGCCAGAAAGCAAACAAATGAACAGGCTGAAGGCGGGGAGCGGGAGGGGGTTTGGAAGGCGACTGTCCCATTAAAAGGCAGGGAGGGAGGGAAGGAAGGAAGGAGCAGCATGATGGCGTCCTCTTTGGCTCCCATCCATACTCAGAGCCACTAAATCAGAATCTGAGTCTATGGGCTGAAAGGGGCTTTTTGTGTTTGGAAGCACATGATGGCCACTGTGAGAGAGAAAGAGACAGACAGACAGACAGAGAGAGCTGTCATTGCCTCAATCTACAAAGAAAAGGACTCCATGGGCCACGGCGAGGGAGGGAGGCTGCTGTGAGGATTGCGCCCACACAGAATTTACAGGGATCTGGGGAAGAAGGAAGAACATAAGAAGAGCCTGCTGAGTCAGGCCAAAAGGGGCAACCTAATCATAGAATGGTAGAGTTGGAAGGGATCTTGAGGGTCATCTAGCCCAACCCTCTGCAATGCAGGAATCTCAACTAAAGCATCCATGACAGATGGTCATCTAACCTCTGCTTAAAAACCTCCAAGGAAGGAGAGTTCACCACCTCCCGAGGGAGTTCGTTCCCCAGTCAAACAGCTCTTGCTGTCAGAAAGTTCTTCCTGATGGTTGATTGGAATCTCCTTGAATGCATTGGTTTGGGTCCTACCCTCCTGAGTAGGAGAAAACAACCTTACTTCATCTTCCATGGTGGCAGCTCTTTAGATATTTGAAGATGGCTATCATATCTTCTCTCTGTCTCCTTTTATCCAAGCTAAACATACTCAGCTCCCTCAACCATTCCTCATAAGGCTTGGTTTCCAGACCCTTGATCATCTTGGTCACCCTCCTCTGCATACATTCTAGCTTGTCAACATCTTTCTTAAATTGTGGCACCCAGAACTGGATGTGGTCTAGGTGTGGTCTAACCTAGGCAGAACAGAGTGGTACTATCATGTCCCTTGACCTGGGCACTAGACTTCTGTTGATGTTGCCTAGAATAGCATTGGCTTTTTTGCTGCTGCATCACACTGGTGACTCATGAAGCTTGTGGTCTTCTGGGACCCCCATTTCTTAGACACAACAGCCTCCACTGTATCTTGATTTTCAATGGAAACCCAACCCTGGATGAGCACATGGAATGCCCTGGATTCTCGTGCACTGCTCAGCTAAGATTGGAGGTGGCATGCAACCTCTGCAACAACAATATTTGCTTGGTGATTGACGTGGAGTGTTATAGTTCCATGCACAGCCTCTTTTGTGGGGCAGGTTTAGCATCTTTTTGCCCTACCCTTCAGTCCCATAGCCCTGTCATGACATCTATGCAACCGGTACTCACAGCTGGAGAAGACCAGAGGGCAGGAGTGGGTATCCATTGGGAAGTTCTGCAGCTGGAGGAGGCACTCAGCTTCAATGGTCAACCTGGAGAGGAGATGGGGATGGGGAATACTGGTTGGACAGCTGCTACAGAAGTACGACTAACCTTGTATGAACATCAATACTTCTGGAGCCTCTCTGTAGCATTTTAGCATCCCCTCAAAAGGTGTTTCAGAAGCCACCTGAGGCCACCAAACCCACATCTAGGCCCATTTCATGATCCATTTATTTCATTCTAAGGCTGGATGTCTCCTTCCCTCTGTGATCCAGTCTGAAAGCAAATGGAACTGGATCCATTCTGTACGAAGAGGCCAGTTGGATGGTCTCTTTGTAGGTGAAAGCCAGGGAGAGACAACCACAAAACCACTTGTGATGTGACCCCCCCCCCCAATCGTTCCTGAATTTGCTTATTTTTTGCTGCCCTTCTCTCCCCTGACTCTTTCATCCCTGTTGAATGATTGCCTGGGAGCCAGGGGTTTACCTGAGCGTATAGAGGACTTTCCCATCATTCCAGATCCGGAGCAGCTGGTTGGGGGTGGTGATCCAGTGGGAGTCAGCCCTCTTAGAGTTCCTGAAAAAGGTGTCTGGGATCCAAATCCGGCTCACCATATTGGTGTTGAGGGTGAGAGCTTTGAGGGTGCTGTTGAAGCGAAGGCGCCGGTCATACCACGTTTGGGCGAAGAATATGTCAATGGTGTATTCCTGTGAGAGGCACAAAATAACATTATCCACAGCCTGCATAAAACTGAGACCTGCAGCTCTTCACCCTGATGGGTGGCATTTGGTGGAGATCATTATTAGCATTTGTATTGCAGAGGGTTGGACTAGATGACTCTCAGGGGTCCCTTAAGTGGCTTTTCAGGGTGATGCACATCAAGGAATGATAAAAGGTTCCATTGGCTGTACAATCACTTGCTCAGGATCACATGAGTAATGAACCCCCTTAAGGAAAGGAAGCAGTGAAGAGATGAGTTTCCAAGGTCCTTTGCACTGAAGGGCAAGTAACTCAGAAAGGGGCTCCATAACTGTGGGGCTCCTCTCAAGAAGACCCTATCTCTCATACATATTAAACTATTGATTTTACTGGTAGCAGATCCTCTGAAGCACATGTTAGTCGTAGTGTACAGGTAGGGTAACATGGTGGTCCCAAATCTGCGTTATCCAGACTGAGAGATGATCCAAAATAAACCTATGCAAAGACAGCCTTGAAAGGTGGGAGCACTCACTGAGCAGCAGCAGCAGCTCACTAGCAGTGTAAGCCAGCAGAGGGGGGGCAAGTCTGTCCCTGTGACATCAAAAAAGGGAGCTGTAGAGGGGACAGGTTAGGGTTAGGCAAGAAGGAAGCCAGTCAAACCAGCTCCCTCCTTCTGAAATGCTTGAAAGTTTGAATAAGGCAGCAAATTGGTGCCATCTATGGGGAGCTATGGGGGGCAGGACCCCCCAATATTTTCAAGGAGGGCCCTAGTCTCTCCCTCCCCCCCAATTCCACTGTGATTCTCAAAGCATGTGGCAGCAGGAAGCGTCTTCACCCTGGTGTGTCCCTTTGAGGATCACCAGAGTGCCTTCTAGAAAAGTGCTCTGGCAAGCTCCCCAAAGGACACACCAGTTGAAAGCATCTTCGTGCTGGCACATCTTCTGCCAGAGATACAGTGAAGGTAAGGTGGCTGGTGGTCAGGAGGTGGCAGGTGGCAAGCAAAGTTAGCCTGGCTGGGTTGCGGGGCGGAGAGGCACATATGCAACATTATATACACGCGATGGGCCCTTGCAATGTTGGGGGGGGGCAACTCAGTGTGCCTGGGCGACAGTTTTGGACAAAATGCTTTTAAAAGAGAAACCTAATATTACAGTTTGAGAAGTTCAGGGTCTCTTTTCAACCTTTTCTTGGCTTCTTTCTTCAACAGCAATGCAGCTCTCCCACATCACTTTACTTTTTTTGTTCCATTCTGTTGACTGTCTTTCTAAACACCCTATTTTCTAGTTTGACATACAATATTTTCACTCCCTTCCCCTGACAACCTTTCAATCAACCAGAAGGAGAGTACCATCCTCCTTAATTGCCAGGTTCCTGGGCTGAACATTTTGCTCTCCTTTGTAAAAGTAAAACCTTTTCTAACGAACTACTGACACTCCTGTTCTTGTGCAAACTTTCGACCTTCCTGTGAAGGAGAACCAAAGACAAAATGGCTGAAGGTCCTATTCTATCCCACTGCTCCTCACCTCCCATGCCCCAAAGTGGTGCTCATGGGTGTAGCCAATATTTATTTAGGGATGGCAGGCTTTATCTTGGTGGGGGCAGAACTGAGTTATTTGCAATGCAATTGGTCAGTTAGTTATTTTTATTCATTTACAGTGGTACCTCGGGTTAAGTACTTAATTCGTTCCAGAGGTCTGTTCTTAACCTGAAACTGTTCTTAACCTGAAGCACCACTTTAGCTAATGGGGCCTCCTGCTGCTGCCACGCTGCCGGAGCCCAATTTCTGTTCTCACCCTGAAGCAAAGTTCTTAACCCAAGGTAGTATTTCTGGGTTAGCGGAGTCTGTAACCTGAAGCGTATGTAACCTGAAGCATGTGTAACCTGAGGTACCACTGAACTTGATTGACCCATGATGGTGCTTCAGATTCCCTGCCCTCTAGAGCAAATAATGAAGATAAACCTTGCCTGGTTGGGTTGGGTTCCTTCTAGGTGCTCCCTGGTGGGCAGTTGCTAAACTAATCCTCTCAGTCTCGTGCTGGGATGGGTAAAAGGTCCCCATAGTTGCTAAATGTCACATGCTACCTTGTGACAGAAGAATACATCTGTATGGAGGAACCAGAACCCAGGTGCTTCTGCCAAGAACCTTGAGGCTAGCACAGACTATACAGGATCAGAGATGAGGTGTCATTGCTGTTTTTGGCTCAGTCACAAGGCACTTTTCCAGAAAGCTAATTTCTTGGTCACCTGAGGAGCAGGAGGCTGATGCACAGGACTGTCCCACAAGGGCAGTTGGAGAGCAAGAGAATCGCCTTAGATTTTGCAAGGTAGGAGGTTTCTGGAAGTGCAACCTAGAGCATATAGCTCAGGATTCCCTTCCCCTGCTATGAGCTTTGAGAGTTCAGTTCAAAGACATGCTGGGAATATTTCCTGCAGGTAGAGGACACACAGAGAGAGAATGGAAGCAATGAAGCAACACAGCCCAGAACAAAGGCCACCTCCTTGCAACTTGTAAGCTTCACTGGGACACAAGTTAAAGACATAGGCAACATCCCAATAGTTTAATGAATATTTCATGTGTTTCATCATTTAATTCATCTGGATGCCCAAGCCTGTCCAGATGCACTCAAGAAATCTGAAGCACATTACTAAATACAGCCCAGTCAAAACACACAGGGAGGATATGTTGCTGCTTTGGTTCAAGGGCAGCTTCTTTTCTGCTCCCCTCCCCATAAAAAATCAAAACTGTCCTCCCATGTATGTTCCACTCTAACATTTATGGAAGGGGGCAGTTGAAAAAAACCTGGAGCAACTTTTGGCCCTGGACAATTGTCCCCCATGCCCTGCTATGTGCAATAAATCAGATATTAGCCCCCTGGAAACATAGTGACTGGAGTGGCCTTTGTTTGGCTTTGATGTGGCTGCCCACACAGCTCTTGAATGCTGCTGAGGTACTGCGCTAGTACTTTCAGCTGGAAGTGGAATTAAAATGCAAGCTCACACATAGATAAAGTGCTGTTTGCCCCATCAAACTCAGCACTGCCTGTCTCTATGGGTAAGATCTTATATGCTTCTGTGGGGCTTAAGTCCCATTCTGCTATGGTCCTGTTTCTCACTGTCCCTTTGATAAGCAGTTTCCTCCTTGCTCCTTCCCTTTAAAACACCTAGTTAGTTCCTCTTCCTTTCTAGCCATGTGATTCTTGGGCTGAAAGTGAATTAGTCAGTTTTGGCTTTCAGTTAATTACTGGTTTCCTCACTCCAGCTAGAACAACTTCCTGTTATTTTATTTGCAATTGCTTTTGTTTCAAAGAAGAAACCAGCAATTTAATTCTCCTTTCTTGCTCCTAAGGATCAGGAACTGACCAAGGATTCCACCAGATGGCCTTCATCCATTCAGCCTTCATCCTGATTTGCTTGAACAAAGCTTATGTAGTAGTTAGACTATATCCAGTTTTATTGGCTATTCATTCTGATTTCATTACAGGTTGGGTATGCAATGATTAACAATCATCCTAAATTCATCCTGGCTTGCTTGTGGTGGGTTTACACATATTTCTGTCAATGAGTTGTTCATCCCACGATTTCCCCATAACTTTCCAAACTGTAAAAAGTCATTTTTTAAAAGTAGATTTATTGTGCTGTGGTGACAAGAGTGCTTTAATCCACTGTAAACATGCCAATCAAAAAAGTTACAGTGTGCCCTTGAATCCCTCCCTCAAAATACTGACAGACTGGACACACCATAATTATTGTCACTCAAGAAGGTGACAGAACCAGAAGCAACTAAACAGCTGCTCAAAAAGGAAACTTTCACTTAAAGGCACAGTAACCCTGCCAAGCCTCAGTTGAACTGCACCAGTACACACTGGCTATGCTGGTGTTATGACTGCATTCCTTAAGTGAGGAAAGTGCTTCTACAGATCAGGTGTAGAAAATGGCACCAGGAAGAGACCTCAGAACAATGTCATTGGGGTTCAGTGTCAAGAAATAGTGCCTTCCAGTAGCACCTTAGAGACCAACTAAGTTTGTTATTGATATGAGCTTTGTGTGCATGCACACTTCTTCAGATACCTAAAGATATATGAAGAAGTGTGCATGCACATGAAAGCTCATACCAATAACAAACTTAGTTGGTCTCTAAGGTGCTACTAGAGGGACGCGGGTGGCGCTGTGGTCTAAACCACAGAGCCTAGGACCGGCCGATCAGAAGGTCAGCGATTCGAATCCCCGCGACGGGGTGAGCTCCCGTTGCTCGGCCCCTGCTCCTGCCAACCTAGCAGTCTGAAAGCACGTCAAAGTGCAAGTAGATAAATAGATACCACTCCGGCGGGAAGATAAACAGTGTTTCCGTGTGCTGCTCTGGTTCACCAGAAGTGGCTTAGTCATGCTGGCCACATGACCCGGAAGCTGTATGCCGGCTCCCTCGGCCAATAAAGCGAGATGAGCGCGGCAACCCCAGAGTCGGTCACGACTGGACCTAATGGTCAGGGGTCCCCTTTACCTTTACTTAAGGTGCTACTGGAAAGAATTTTTTAATTTTGTTTTGACTATGGCAGACCAACAAGGCTACCTACCTGTAACAAGAAATAGTGCCTGCACTAGACCAGCTGGTTGGTGACATGGAAGCAAAACAATTTTCTCATGGAGAGTCTGAATTATTTTAGAGCCTGGCCTGGCTCAGATGAGATTCCCCCCAAAATGGCTCAGTTGCTGCTCTCACTTGTCTCGCTTTTCTTCAGAAAGATTGCAGGACAAACATGACAGCTGCTCTTCCTGTTCTCTTTCTTTTACCTGATCAGACCCTGCTCCTGCTCCAGTAATGGTTGCCATATGGCTTGGAAGCAACATCTGCCACAGACTCTCTGAGAAAGGCTGAACAATCAAACTATCCTAGGGCCCCTGCCCCCAACCTACTGGGGGAATTTGGGAAGAAGGGCTAGATATAAATTAAACAAACAAACAAACAAACAAACAAACAGATTATACACATAATGCAGAATTGCTCATCAACAGGCTTCTTCCACCAATTCTAATGCACATTGCAGTTAAGGTGGCCTTTAAGTAACCCAGGTGCAAAGAGTCAACAGGCATCATACAGTGGCTCAAGTCTTAGCCTTGGGGTCAAATGTGGCTTAGCTTTGATTAACTTTCCTCTTTTGGCCTCTGTTCCTCAACTGCCCATTGGGCCTGTAAGGGGACAGAGAGCCTTTCCAGGAAGGTCAGGGCAACCTCTACCGGCTACAGCAATGAGATGTTTGTCTGCTCCTCCCCATGGGCCATTTTTACAACACACACCCCCAGACCACATGCAGTGAGGCCAGTTATGCTCCTGTAGCACCTCCTGTGGCAACACCACCTCCCAAGCAGGTGCAGCCTGACACTATTAGCAGCAGATCATAATGCCCTAAATGCATATGCTCAGCTCATGACTAGCAGTCCTCACCTAAGAGACCAGGAGAGAACTTGAGCATGACATCAGCCAAGTTCTGCTCAGGATAACACAACATGTCTGTAGTTAAGAAGACAAGGCTTTTGATAGGAAGAAGCTGGAGGCTGTACAGCATAATTATGGGATTGGCGTGTCATCACCACCGCTGGGCCACCTGCTCACTGACCTTCCCCTATTCACAGTACTTTAGCACACTTCCAATCAAAGTTGGGGAGGGCTGCAGCTGAGCTGGGGTTCTGCCCTCCAACAGGCAAGAAGTGTAGGAGATTTGCAGTCAAAATCTAACAATACATTTTCTTGTAATTAGTAAGTCTAGGGGCTAATTACCACAGAACGAAAATTTCTAGGTGGGCAGACTCAGACAACAGGAATGCAATTGGTGGAGAGAGAGGGCTATATGATGTCATTTCCCCTGTTTCCAGTGGCAGAAAGAAATGAGAGATATAATCCCTTATGCTTCCTGTTGCACACTTTCCCTTTGTTCTTCTGCACCATGTCTTCAATGGAGATGGATAGATGTCTATGCTCTCACTGAGTGCAGATTCCATTTTAGAAGTCAGCTATGTATTTTGTAACCTAGAAGTATTTTTACCTGCATTGCTTTTGCTGCTGTTGTTTGCTGAAAATGTGTGCAATACTTTAAGTAAGTAAAGTCTATTTTTAACTTACTTTACAGTGTGGTTTGATTTTTTCACACACACAGTATGGTTTGATTTTTTCACACACACACACACACAGTGTGGTTTGATTTTCACACACACACACACACACACACACACACAAATTGTGGTAATTATAGAGGGGGGAGTCAGCTTGCTAAATATAATGAGCTGTATCAACCTTTCCTAAGCTTCTAGTTTTCTGCCAAGGGGTGGTAATCTAAAGCTCCGCCCTACTCAGCTTCTAAGTGCAAATGCTGAACTGATTATTCTAAGTCTCTCACACATAATGGGGGACTGGAAGGATAATTGTAATTAATATATCCTCTCCTACCTACTAAATCCATCCCACAAGAAGAAGATGGGCTATAGTGTCCCTTCCCCTTCTCTGGTCTAGGGGTCATTAGAAAAGGATCTGAAAATAAAAGTGCCAGTATCATAATACCATTATTGAAATCTATGGTGCAACCACATTTATTATAGCATGTGAAGTTCTGGTCACCTCACCTCAAAAAGGATACTGTGGACTTGGAAAACATTCAGAAAAGGGCAAGCAAAATAGTCCAGCAAGATGCTGGAATGACTCCCCTGTGAGGGAAGATTGCAGCGTTTGGTAATTTTTAGTTTAATGAAAATGGAATGAAAAGGTGGCATGATAGTTTGTAAAATTATGCATGGCACAAAGAAAGTGTATACAGAAAAGTTTTTCTCCCTGTCTTCTGGAGCTCATGGACATCCTACAAAGCTGAGTATTGGGATTCAGGACAGATAAAAGGAAGGACATTTTAGTTAAATTTTGGAGCTTGTCCCCTCAAGAGGCAGCAATGGCCACCAACCTGGATGTCATTAAAAGACAACTGGTCAAATTTGTGGAGGAGAGGGCTATTGATGCCTACTAGCCATAATGACTATGTTCTGCTTCCATAGTCAGAGGAAGGAAAGCTTCTGCAAACCAGTTGCTGGAAACCACAGGAGGGCTCTTGGTCTTGGCTCTTGGTCTTGTCTTCTAGGCATAGCATCACCCTCATCAGCGGCAGCCAGCCGGAGCTTCTACTCTTCCTCCTCCTCCTGGTTATCAAATTTGTCGTCCAAGAATTTAATATTTACATTTTTCTGCTGTCTTAAGAATAGAGTGCTGTCCTTGGTCCTGAAGCCTTACAGCACTTTACAGAATATAAAAAGAGCCTCTTAAAATTTGTTAGTTCAAAGGAAGAGTTTTTGCAGCCTTCGTTCCTTCCTGTGAGCAGGCTTTTCACAAATGAAAGCTGCTGCTCCCCTAGCACAGCGCCCTACCTCTCCTTTCTTAATATGCATGGCAGCAGCTTCAGCAAAGAGGCTCGGCATTATAGCTTTAAAAAGGTTCTTATTATTTGCCGAGGAAATGCTGATGGCTTACTGAAAACACATGTTCAGTGGTTTAACAGGGAAAGGGTCTCTTCACCCCTTTGAATAAGCAATTGGCAATGAAAAAGGGATTAGCTCAGCCTGCTCCAGTGGAAGGCTGAGCAACGATGAGGCCAAGGGTGGAGGGGGAGGAATGATTCTGTGGGGCTGGAAGATTCCTAGTCTCAGCCGACCATATAAGAAAGAGGACAGGGCATGGGCAACTTCAATCCCAGCTGACTTCAGGGGGACTTTGCAGCTAGTAATTCTGGCAGCACTAAATCCCTAACATATTGGTGGTGGATGGGTGGGGGGTCGTCTCCGTGTGTATATTCTCTGGTGAGTATACAGATGAGATAAGAAGATAACAACATAAGAATAGTCCTGCTGGATCAGGCCAGTGTCCCACCTAGCCGAGCATCCTGTTATCACAGTGGCCCACTAGATGCCGCAGTGGGAAACCCTCAAGGAGGATTCAAGCACAAGACCACCCTTCCCTTCTGTGGTTTCCAGAAACTAGGATTCGGAAGCATCACAGCCTCCAACCATGGAGGCAGAACATAGCCATTTTGGATAGTAGCCACTGATATTCTTCACCTCTTCCAGTAATTTGGAGGATCCTCTGTTAAAGCCATCCAAGTTGGTTGTTATCATTGCATCCTGTGGAAGCAAGTTCCATAGTTGAACAATGCACTGTATGTAGGATTTAATTTTTTAAATCTATCCTGAATCTTCTAACATTGAGCTTCACTGGATGCCCACAAGTCACTTTCTTTCTTTCCTTCTCTCCTTTCCCCTCCCCAACCCACTTATACACATATCCGCCACTCCACATTTCTTCCAGTTTCCACTGTTCTCCCAAAGGGTTCAGCACTCACCATGTGGATCACAGAGACAGGCCCAATGCTGTTTACATAGATGTCCACATCAATGAAAGTGGGCTTGACTGTAAAAGAGACCACAAAAGAGAAGACAGGTCAGCCATGGGAGAGGGTTATATGCCAAGGGCAGCCACGAGGATAGGTGAGCTCAGTGATTTATGTGTTCCCAAAAGCGCACCCAAAAGTGGCTCTGAAAACAATACAACAATGCAATCCAATGAAATTCAATGAAAATGTGCAGACAGCAAACTTAACAGCAGTAAGAGAAATACAATAATTAAAACTTTTAAAAAATAAATGCCCATGAACACAAATCAGTTTTCTGTGTCTACTTAAAAGTTAGCCATGAAGGGGCCTGCGGCGTCTCTCATTGGGAGGCTGATCCATAATTTTGGTGCCACCCACAGTCAGAAAGTCCACACCTGCTATGCCTGTGCCCAGAACAAGGTTGCCCCAATGATGAGGCATGGAGAAGCAGCCACCTCAGATGGCAAAAGATCCCAATGCGGTACTTTCATGGGCACCCCACCTACCCTGCCTGTGCCACCTGCTTCTGCTGCCACTGGAGAAGTAGCACTGGTGACAATTTCCTCCAAGATCTCATAGTGGAGGCGATAGGGCAGGCAGTGCAATAGTGGTGTAGCTTGGGAGGGTCTGAGGGGGCTGTCACCCTGGGCACAGTTGGGGGGACCACGTGCCCTGCCCCATCATGATCTGCTGTGTACTCAGCACCCTGAAGCCTAAGGACACTATGAGAAGGACATAACGAGTCATGGTGTCCTCCCTGTGAGCCAAACAACACTCGTAAAAGCAGTGCTGTGCTCCCAGGGCCCAGGGTGCACACCTGCTCACAGCATGTTTTTGTGAGTCTTGCAAAGTGAGACTGGGCCTGTGGGGGCACCATGAGTGCACCCTGCTTTGCAGCAGTGGGCAAGGCTCACTCCGGTAGCACGCCCTGCCCATGGCCCTGCCCCTTGGAGCACCCTCCGCATGCCCATGCACCCACCCACCCTGAGGGCATGCCACTCCTGGGTGAGGCTTTGCAAGGGATCCTCCTTAAGAAGCTCTTACAAAACCTCATTGCTGAGCAGGAAAGGGGGAGATTAAGCAAAGACTTCTCTTTAAGGAAAGGCTCTTCTTGAATCTCCCCACCTCGCTGGTGGGGGTGGCATGGCTTTGCAAGGACTGCTCCTTGAGGGGAAGCCCTTGCAGAGCCTAACAGCTGCCCATCATGAGGCCAACAGTGGGACAGTTTGCTGCTGGTGCCAAAACACCTCAGGCTGCCCCTGGCCCAGAGGAGAGCACCCTTAAGAGAAGTTCTTGAAAAGGTTCCTTTGGAAGTGGGCAGTTCCTTGCAGCTGAAGCAGCCGAAGTCACTGCCTCAAATTGAACCCAGAAACATTTTAGACTCCAATGCATAATACAATCTGCTCTGCTGCTCCCAGAAAACTCTCTGTCAGCTAAAGTTTCTGGGCTCTCTTGGAAGGGCAGCCTAAGGAGCAAACTAATGCAACTTGTGACTAACATTTTTTTTTAAGTAGCCACAGTAAAAAAAGAAGCAGAAGCAGCAGGTGCGGAGCCCTGATCCAGAAAGTGTTTTCGATCTGGATCAGGAGCATGTGCTAGTTTTTCTGCTGAAAATTGTCCCCTATCTAGCAGTTGGGTAGGGAAAATTTTCCAGTAGAAAACTGGCCTGGGACCCCTCTATGGCTGCTTTTCCTCAAAAGTAAAAATGGCCAGATTAGCTGCACCCAGTGTACACCCACCTGCCCACCCAGACTGACTGTAAGTAAGCAAGTGGTAGACTGAGACTGGGACTGCACCCCTTTTGCTCTCATTGCCCACCCTCTACTACTTTTGCCCTCTGCCTCTACACCCCAGTGCTGCTGGACTTGGGAACCTGGTGCTCAGCATACAAAACATCAGTGCCAGCAATCAATCATGTTCCACGTATTTCCCCTTTCTTTGCAACCTGCACCCCTCAGTCAAGGGTGCCTTCCAGCTGAGGTCTCCCTTGGGAGGAGGAAAACTTACTGCTGATATCGGGGCGCAGCTTGTTGTCATAGTTCTGGAGGAGGGAATTGAGGATCTGTGTGGCATCCGTCTCCTGGGCTTTGGGGGTCAGGACCCAGGTTTTGTTGGTGTTGCTGAGGTAATCGTAGTCATATTCCTCTGTGCTCTCTGCCCTGCAAGAGAAACAGGAAGTCCATGGAGGAGCGGGCAATGGGAAAAGCATATCTCAATCTCAGACCCTGGAGAGTTGCTGGCAGTCAAAGGAGCTACTCAGGGGCAGGTGGGGGTAGCAGGGGACATTTCTGCCCACCAACACCATCGCAACATTTTGGAGAGGAGGTACCGTATTTTTTGCTCTATAGGACGCACCCGACCATAGGATGCACCTTGTTTTAGAGGGGGAGAACAAGAAAAAAAATTCTCCCCCTCTCTGCGCAGCCCCCCTTCAGCGAAGCGGCAGGAGAAACAGAGCCCCTTCCATTTCTCCTGCTGCTTCGCTGAAGGGGCGCTGTGCAGAGAGGGGGAGAATTTTTTTTCTTGTTCTCCCCCTCTAAAACAAGGTGCGTTCAGTGTGTTCATGGTGCGTTCAGTCACCTTCAGTGAAGGCAACCCGAAGCCTCTGGAGCGCAGCGGGAACTTTCAACCTGCTCTTCCTGTTCCTTTCGACCTGCTCTTTGGGGCTGGCGGTGGGGGGAAGCACGCTTCCCCCCACCGCCAGCCTCAAAGAGCAGGTCGGGGCTGGCGGGGGAAGCCCAGGGTGCCCCCCCCAGCCCCGTGGACCACACATTCGCTCCATAAGACGCACAGACATTTCCCCTTAGATTTTAAGAGGAAAAGGTGCGTCTTATGGAGCGAAAAATACGGTATATAACACAACAGGCATACGTGAACCTCAATACAAGTTGATGTGCTATAGCAGTACAAATCAATATAGGACTATCTGTGTTCCTGGTACTTTACATAGCACAAGAGGAGAACTCCATGTCCCAAGGAGAATACAATCAAAATTCAGCACAGGGAAAAGCAGGAGCAGTTTGGGTGAAAATGACCAGCAGGGGGTAAAGCAAGAAGCAGTATGCAACTGCGACAGTTCCCCCTGCTTAGGCTTACTCTCAGGGTAAGGAATCATAGGGCATGGGATCCAGGGGGTGCTCATTTGAATAAATGCTGTTCAAGTCACTGAAGCAGAGTCCAAATTGTGGGGAAATAAATATACGAATCCCTGTGACCCATGTGTGTGGGGTAAATAACAAAAGAATCAGCTGGGTGCCTGGATTCAACATGTGGGGCTAAACTCACTTTCTTTTTTTCTTTCTTTTTAATTTTCTTTTTATTGAGTTTCTCTTCAAAAAAAACCAAAAGAAAAAAAACAAATCAACAAATTCAAAAGAAATATCCATACATAGCACAAAAATAACACCCATTACAATTCTTTGTCTTCTTCCTTGAATCTTTATATCTTTATATCTTTAAACCTTTCCTCTATGCACCTATTGACCTCCTTCCCACCCAATTTCGGGCTTCTTAATAAAGATTCTTTCTTTTTTCTGCAGCTATTAATTGTTGGGGCTAAACTCACTTTCTAGTAGGAGAGAGCACCCAGTAGCAGAGTTCAAACTCACAAAAGTTTAGCAGCAGTATAACATGGGAAAATAGGTTCTTAGACCCCTTATCCTGTTTGGTAGTATAAAGAGCTCCCCTCTTTCTATCTCTCCTGCAATGAACAGACCACACACTGTTAAGTACATTTAAAATGCTTTGCTTAAAGGTGTGTGGTCTCTTCATTGCAAGAGAGGTATAAAGAGAGTAGCTTGTTCAAAAGATCAGATTAATCCGTTTATCCAAACAGCAGCAAGAAGAACACAGGCAGAATACTTGGGGGGGGGGGGTGGAATACGAAAAGATAGTTTCAAACACATGGTCTACACTTGGAGTGAAGATTAGACACGTACCTCCTGATAGGATACATGGTGAAAAGGGTGATAAGAGGAAGAGAATGCTCCACTTCCTTACTCATTAGAGAATGTGTGTGTGTGTGTGTGTGTGTGTGTGTGTGTGTGTGAACTAGTTGAGTCTAGGAATCCAACTCTGTGGTTTTAACCCCTTTTCACACTAACTAGCACTCATGCATAGTTATGTTCTATTGCAATTTCCCCCACACATGACATGCTCATGCAGAGATAACTCCTGACAAAAGTGAAGGCTGCAAAGAACCAGGGCTGTAAAGAACTGGAGGCTTGAGTGGCAGGTGCTCTGCTACACTAAATCTGTACAGTTCTGGCTATCTCATCTCAAAAAGGAGATTGAAGAGCTGGAAAAGTTTCAGAAAAGGGCAACAATAATGATCAGTTAGATGGAGCAACTCCCCTATGTGGAAAGGTTGCAGCATTTGGAGCTTTTTAATTTAGAGAAAAGGCAAGTAAGAGGCAACGTGATAGAAGTTTATAAAATCATGCATTGCATGGAGAAAGTGGACAGAGAAAACTACCCCCCCCCCGAAACACTAGAATTTGTGGGCGTCAAATGAAGCTGAATGTTGGAAGATTCAGGACAGATAACATGAAGTCCTTTATACAGCACAAAGTTAAACTATGGAACTCCCTTCCACAAGAAGCAGTCATGGCCACCAACTTGGATGTTCTTAATAGAGGATTAGACAAATTCATAGAGAAAGCTATCCATGGCTACTTCTTCCTATGCAGGCAGTAATGCTTTGCAACAGCAGCTGCTGGAAACCAGAGGAAGGGAAAATGCTCTTTTGCTCAGGTCCTGATTGTGGGCTTCTATTTTGAGCATCTGCTTGGCCACTGCAAGAACAGGATGCTGGACTAGATGGGCCCCCTTTGGCCTGATACATCAGGGCTCATCTTATGTTCTTATGCTCTTTTGAATCCCAGGCAGGAAAACTGAGAGATCATTTCAATATGTGCCATTGGGTAAGTTGGCTGCTGTGATGTGCCCCAGCACACGTGCACGCACACACACACACCCCGTAATACAATAAGGCACTGGATTTAAAGACGTGTGCCTCGAGATGCCCCTTCCTCTGCCTGCTTATTGATTCAATTTTAGTGAGAAGTTTACAATCTCCCCTCCCAGCTTCCACTTCCCAGTAATAAGCAGGGGAAGCTCTTCCATCTCCCAGGTGTAATAAGTGATGGCAAGGCTCCTGCAGGCACCAAGCAATTAGGGAGGTGCAGGGGACATGCCTTGTGCCTGTTAATGGAAATGTCACACGCAGCAAACATTTTGCAATCAAGAGCTGAGCAGGCTGGAGGAGATGTTGTGTCAAGACACAGCAATTCAATCTGGCAACTTGTGAAAGGTACAGCCCAGCTCTTGTCTTGCTCAGACAGAATCAAGAGGAAAAGGTATTCATGCCTGACATACTGTAAAACCTGCTTGTCAAAACAAGCACCTCTCTTGACCAGGCAATTCATGAAAAGGCAGCTCAGGTGGGAGAGACCTACTGGAGCACTATCATCCTGTGTGCGTGTGTGTGCGCGCGCACACACGCACGCGCACACACACGCACACACATTTTATGGTGGGTGTGCATGATGGGCTGTGGTGGGCAGGCAAGCTAAGGGACAGCTTTGCTCCCTGGCCAGGGATGTGTCAGCCATATTAATTAACAGATTCAGAAGAGAAAGATGGGTTTTGACATCCCCTCCTTGGGTCATGCTTGACATTATCCCAAAATCAAGCCATGTCAGCAGAGGCCAAGCACACTTGGTTAAAGAAAGAGCACCCAGACCTCAGCTACTGTAGTCAGCTCAGAAGGGGGCAACAAAAACACACCAGATTGGCAGATTCAGAGATTAGTTTCCAGATCTGAATTGTGCTGTTTTTCTGGTCCAGACACTTCTGAGGAGGTGTGTAAGCTCATCAACTCTGATTGGCAGTCCATGTGGGAAACAATAGTTCAGCCAAAATAAAATTTCATGTGTTGCTAGATAAGCAAAGGCACATGGGGCTCCCCTGTATATTCGTAGAGAGAGCACTCTGTGAGGTCACATCCTCTGCTTATCTTCACAGGGAAAGGTAACCAAAAGAAGAAGAATCCTTACTACTTATGTCCTGCTCAGAGCTCAGTCTTCTTCCCCATGTAACAAAAGAGAGAGGATGCTTGTCTGTTCTCTCCTGAGCACAGACTCCATTTTGATCTCAACCATATATTTTGTAATGTACAAGTAGATTCTGCCTGTCTTGTTTTTTACTGCTGCTTACTGCTCAATCAAATCTGAAGCTTTATGTAAGTAAACAAAAAAAATTCTTGCATTACAGACTTCTCTGTGTTTATTTTGTTTAGAGGGATAAAAAGGGGAACATACAATCTGCTGAAGCATCCTGGATATTAATATTAAGGTAAAGCAACCCTTTGTCTCAGGAGTTTCCACATTTTATAATGCAAAGAAATGTCAATTTTAAACTCTGCTTACTAGACATTAAGCTCATACAAGTAAGAGGAGGGATAAATAAGAATATCCTATCCTACACTCCAAATCCATCCAAATCCATCCAACATCCCACAGGCTTACTTTTGTTCAGTCACCCATAATTAGTGGTTGCCACCAGTCTCTTCCCCCCTGGTAGGTACAGAGAACAGGGTCACCTCTCATTTGCAGGGGGTGTCAAGATGAAGGGCTCGGGGTAGGCTTGGGAGTTACAGGCAGGTGGCACGCCGAATGTCACCACCCCTCAGTGATAACACCCAAGGTGGGCCAACCCCACTGCTCCCCTTCCTCCGCCCCTGTATGAGGGAAGGCATACAGTGGAGTTGGGGTTGGAAAGGGAGGATTAGCTTGCAGAAATGGAGGCAGAGAACAAGGTGACCTGATAATTGATTGATAAAACTGTGGGGAGTGGAGAAGATTCTCTCAAAGCAGTAATCACTTGAGGACCTCTGATGAAACTTGTTGCCAGTAAGAATGCCCAATAAGATGCCCGTAATGGGAAACCCACCAGCAGGACCCAGGCACAACAGTGACTTTCCCCTCCTGTAGCTTCTAGCAACTGGTAATCTGAAACATCCTTTGACTGTGGAGGCAGAGTAGAGCCATTGTGACAGAAGGTTTAGACTCCAGTTTTTGGGATAAGATTTGTTAGTTTTAAGGTGTTACAAGACTCTTCCTTGCTACTAGAGCAACAAATCTTGGCCTCTACCCTTGAAATGGCTGTCAGCAGAGAGCAGATGGAAGGAGAACATCTTCATAATTCACAGACATGGTCCATTGCTGAGATATTGGGATGGCCTGTCATACAGATGATTTTAAAACTCAGAGGTGAACAGCCTAACTTCAATCATCAGGGCAGCCACCAATCCCCCCATGGAGCAGAACAGCCTGCTGCTGAACACAAATTGTGGTAGAATACTGGGCTACATGGACCTTGGCTGACTCAGAAAGGTTATGCTTATATTCCGGTGCAAGCCCCTCCCCCCCCAACTTTGGGGCCTGCTGGCACATATGGAATTCTGAGAGGCTATCGTTTTGGGCACCACTCACAAAATTGCTTTTTCAGGGCAAGGAAAAGGAGGAATATAAAAGATGGATAGAATCCTCTTTAATTGGCCTGATTTTACATGGGGTTTCCCCAAGCCACCATCCCCATGTGACAGCTTATTCTGAAGTCATATCTAGCCTGCCATAGTTTGGTTGCTCCTTGGGATGTTTGCAAAGCGAGAGGACCATAGTTGATTGACATACTTTGCATGAAGAAGGTCACAGTCCCATGGATCTCACAGCCTGCAGCCTGTTTGGCTGAATGGACAAGAGTTGCCATATATCAAAAAGTAAAATTCCTGACATCTGCAAAATTGACAAACCCCAAAATTGTTGAGCATTTTTTGCGAACAAACCCAAATTGTTTAGTTCTTTCCCCCAACAGTAATTTTTAAGGTTTTGGAACTGTTTCCACTGCTTTTTCCATGTTGCCATACATCTGGGTTTTCCCTGACATTTTGCTGCTTCGGCAAATCCCCCCTCCCCCGGGCCCATTTTTACACCCCAAAACCAAGACATGTCAGGAATTTTCCTTATGTGTGGCAAGCCTAGGATGGACTGAAGGCAGCTCCATCTGTTCATGAGAGGGATCAATCACTGGCCCCCTGCCTGCATTCTGGCAAAAGAGGGATGTAGGAGAAGGGCATTATTTGTGACAAGGAGGCTTGGCAGCAAGGAAGTGATCAAGGTCTCAGTTTACCATCTTCACTCTTCTCTCAAAGTGCCCTCTAACAGCATGTAGTAATTTGCATGGATAAACTGGTTCCTCACTTAAAGCCTGCTGTGGATTTCCCATCACATTTTCAAAGAAGTCCTGTGAGACGATGGTTGATCTGCTGACAGCATTGTTGCCAACACAACAATATACGCCTCAGCTCCAGTTTCAAATGATTTTCTAAGCAAGGACTGGGTCTTCCTCTCCTCCCGGGAGAATATCTGTCATGGTCATGCTATCTTCTAAATAGTGTATGCACTGAAATTTGGGGGAGGATTTCTTCAAACTAGTCAATAAATCACCTGACATATTTAACGAATTAATTATCTCAGACCGTATCTGTATTGGATTTGAAATCCTTTTTTATATATATGAAATTGTTTTATATGTGTTTTATTTGCTAAATTGCTTCAAGGTGTTTCAAAGGAAGTGATCTGTAAAAGAAATTAATTAATCATCTGATGTAAACTAAAGGCTTAGGATACCTCTCAGTCCAAGTTGAAAGCTCAGCTTTTGGTTTAGTTTCAAAATCAAAACTAGTTCAGGTGTTGTTGTTGTTTTAAGGTGAAGAAGGAATAGGAGGAGGAGCACGGCAGCTGAGGGCTACAGGGGCTGGCAGTGGGCTCTGTGCAGGGGTGGTGAGGGTTAGGATCTGGCCCTTGGCAAATGCCTCCCCTTGACCTGGGGGTTGCGGCTGCACAAACCTACTGAAAGGGAGCACTAATGGGTCTATTCAGGATTTAGAGACAACAGCCAAAGGAATAGCCACAGATATCCGGGATGGAGATTGAGCTGGGCCTCATCAGTGGGCTCTGTCCCAGAACCTGTTAGAACATCATCCAGAGGAGAGTTGTTCTTTACCTGTCTGTCCCCCATCACTGGATAACTGCATCTGGGACCAACCTTTCAAACTGCGGGCCCAGGCTTCTTAGTCTGTGTTTATGGATCCAGCCCTAGGACTTTTCTCTTGAGGTCATCATCACAGCAAACCCCCCCATCTTTCCCTCCCCCCCCCTTGGAAAAGCATCATGGCCTCAGGGTGCCCTGGACCGGGCTCAGCTTGCCTCCTTGCCTCTCGTGTTGTTGTCTGCTGCCTCTAGCCTTTGCACAACTGCCCTCAAAAGGACACTGTGACCGCTTGGGGTGACAGGTGAGAGGCTCTGCACTGCAATGGGACCAAAGACCCCTCTGGCTTATGAGCAGACTATCTCTTTGTCAGTGAAGTTTTTCATTTTGAATTTTAAGTTTTATTTTTGAATTTGGCACATTTTTCTCAATTTTTCAATTTTGTGATCTCCCCCAATTTTTTAATATTTGAGATTGCTAGTGAGAATTTTATTGTTGAGGCAAACTTTAAGCTGTCCAAACTTACAGAGGACAACTATATCTGCTGGAGAATAATAATAATAATAATAATAATAATAATAATAATAATAATAATAATTTCCCCAGACACTCTAGGCGGCTCCCAACAGAATATTAAAAACATGATAAAACATCAAACATTAAAACTTCCCTAAACAGAAACCAGATTTAAAATGAAATGCATTTTGCCATGCATTGAGCTAGAATGGATCAGAGGAGGGAGCCAAGAAGCCGTAACAGCAAAGGGGAAATGGGATTAAGAGAGTGATATAGCAGCATCACTCCTCTTTGACAATATTTCAGCTTCTGAAATGATTCACACAGCGAAAGACGAAACTGCTGCTCAGATGCTTGATAATCTAGAGGCTGCATCTGCATATACAAGCAAGACCTAAGGGTTTTAGTAGACCACAAGCTAAACATGAGTCAACAATGTGATACAGCAGCAAAAATGCTCTTCTAGGCTGCATCAATAGAAGTATAGTGTCCAGATCAAGGGAAATAAGTAAGTACTGCTCTATTCTGCCTAGGTCAGACTACACCTAGAATACTGAATCCAGTTCTTGGTGCCACATTTAAGAAAGATATTGACAAGCTGGAACATGTACAGAGGAGGGCAACTAAGATGATCAAGGGTTTGAAAACCAAGCCTTATAAGAAACAGTTGAGGGAGTTATTGAGGTTATTAATACTGCACATTTGGAAGCAGTTGGGTGAATAAAAACTGATTCTTCTTTGAAATAAAAATTCTCCAGTGCAAAAATATGGTTCAGAATCTTTACTTCCAGAACTTTAACTCCAAACATAACACTAAAAGTTACATTCAGTTAGATGCTTGATTTCTTACACTGTTCCCATCATAAGGCATAATGTCTTAGACCAAAAATATCTTGCATGCTGAGTTAAAAATCAAAGCTCTGACTCTTCTCCATTCCAGCCTCCATTATCCCGAGGCTGTTTACTGGAAACAGAATCAACACATCCTTTCTCTTCAGTAGCTTGAAAAACAAAAGAGCACCCCCACCTAAGATGCATGTCTACAGATTAGCATATGCATAGACCTGTAACACAATCCTTTTTCATGAGATTTTAACATCTTGTGACTGGGCCACAAAGATACAGCCCCACTTAATGATTAACCAGTTAGGCTCTCTTCAGCTTCAATGGAAATTTCCAGTCATGTTTCATAGTATAATGCAGGCAGATTATATATTTATTTTCCATTCCAATACAGTGGTACCTCGGGTTAAGTACTTAATTTGTTCTGGAGGTCCATTCTTAACCTGAAACTGTTCTTAACCTGAAGCACCACTTTCGCTAATGGGGCCTCCTGCTGCTGCCATGCCGCCGGAGCATGATTCCTGTTCTCATCCTGAAGCAAAGTTCTTAACCTGAGGTACTATTTCTGTGTTAGCGGAACCTGTAGCCTGAAGCGTCTGTAACCTGAAGCATATGTAACCCGAGGTACCACTGTATATTTTAAACAGTTAACAAGAGTTTAGCTTAGAAAATAAGAGATTAGTATGAGATATGATCGCCATCTTCAAAAATCCAAAGGGCTAACACATGGAAGATAGAGCAAGCTTGTTTTCCTCTGCTCTGGAGGGTACAACCCAAACCAATGACCAAGTTACAAGAAAGGAGATTCTCACTAAACACCAGGAAGAGATTTCTAACAGTAAGAGGTGTTAAGATAGTGCAACAAACTCACTTGGAAGGTGGCGCACTTTTCTTCCTTGAAGGTTTCTACACAGAGATTGGATGGCTATTTGTCCTGGATGCTTTAGCTGAGATTCCTGCATTGCAGGGGGTTGGGCTAGATAATGCTCTGGATCTGTTCCAACTCTACAATTCTATGATTCTGTAGGTTCAGGTACACTAAGTGGCAACTGAAGTGAAAAAGAACCCCTTGCAGTGAGTTCTGTATGTTCCAGAGCTGAACTGCAACACAATGAATGTGTCCACTTTGGGCAGAAAAGGTTTCAGTGTATTGTTTCAGAAAACCCTCAACCCTAGTCACAGATAATGGCAAAGAGTATTGTTCAAATGGCATGACAAGCCTTCTGGAAGAGGAGTGTTCCCTACACCCCACAACAGAGTGCAGCTGCAGAGAGAAAGATCTAGTGTGGAAGTGGCAAGATGTATGCAAATCTTCCCAAACGTATGTGGAGAGACACAGTAGCCACTGTGGAATATCTCCAAAACAGACTACCAACTAAGGGAACTATATACACACCTTTTTAACTTTCACACCCAACTTGTTACACATACATGTTTTTGGCAGCATTGTCCATAGCTACATATTCAAAGAGAATAGGCACAAGCTGGACTCCAGAACAGAAAAAACGAATTCTACTTAGTTACTCTTCTGGAGGAGAATGCTACAGAATTATGGGCTTAAAGACAGGAAATGTCAGCTCAAGACATGTAGTTTATTTTGATGAGCACAGCAAAGCTGACAAAAGAGGAACTGTTGTAAATTTCTCTGAGCAACCACAGGAAGAAACACAAGACGTCATGTACTTCCCACAACTAATATAACAGTCCAGATCTGCAGCCTGCTGTAACAGCACTCTTGTACAGGGGATGAACAGAAAGAAGTCACAGAGGACTAGACTACCAGCAGTAGCAGCAGAAGTGATGAGGAACAGTCTAATGGGGAGATGCCTGAATTTGAAGAAAGTGATGAGGGAACTGAGGCAATTCCAGAACCAGAGGTCAGACACTCAGCAATATCAAACAGAGGTGTTCTGCCACTAAGACCGTCCTACATTGTGAGGTTGGTACAACCCCTAGAACCTTTCACCAGGGAAGAGATAGAAGGCATGCTAGACACTGAAGCTTGCCTCTGGATGAATCCTGCACAGGAAAAAATAGGTGCACTGCACCAGAACAAAATCTGGTCTCTTACCAAGCTTCCTCAGAAGAAGGGGATTGGAAGTAAGTGGGTGATCAAGGTAAAGCAGGGTACAGATAATTCAGTGCTATAAAGTGAGGTTGGTAACCTGTGGCTCCTCTCAGAAATATGAAGAAGACTATGATGGAACATTTGATCCTGTTGTAAGATATACTACTATTAGAATGCTTTTAAGCATAGCAGCATATAAGCAAATGGAAGTGAGACACATAGACATTAAAGCAGCAATCTTGCACAGCAAAATCTCAGACGACAAGATTTACATGAAGTAACCCAAAGTTTTTATCTAACCAAATTAAGCACATTTAGTATGTAAACTTCAGAAGTGACTATATGGCCTCAAGCAAGCTGCTAGGCAGGGGTCAGCAAACTTTTTCAGCAGCGGGCGGGTCTACTGTCCCTCAGACCTTGTGGGGGGGCCAGACCTTTTCTTGGGGGGGGGGACAAAAAACCGAACAAATTCCTATGCCCCACAAATAACCCAGAGATGCATTTAAAATAAAAGCACACATTCTACTCATGTAAAAACACCAGGCAGGACCCACAAATAAGCCAGAGATGTATTTTAAATAAAAGGACACATTCTACTCATGTAAAAACACGCTGATTCCCAGACCATCCACGGGCTGGATTTAGAAGGTCCCAACCCCCGGACCTTAGTTTGCCAACCCATGTGCTAGAGCATGGAATAAAAAGTTACATAGCATGCTCATACAACTAGAGTACAAACAAGGCTACACAGAAAAGTATTTGTACACTAAATGCAAAAATGGACTATTTTGGACATTATGGACATTATGTTTTGGCATTTGCTGATAATCTTTTTATTGCAACTGAAAATGGCCAGGACTACACACAAGCGGTACAGCATCTAAGCAAGGATGTGGAGGTTAAAGAAATAGGAAAAGCTCACTACTATTTAGGTTTTCAAACAGAGAAGAAGATTAATAATTTCTTCTAAGTCAAAAGCAGAATGTCACTGAACTGCTTGACAATCTGGAGATGCAAGAAGCACACCCAGTTGCAACACCTATGAACGCTGGCTTTTTAAAGAGCCAAGAACACTCAAGACTATTGCCTGACAACAATCAGTACAGGTCAGCAAAAGGAAAACTTTTGTACCTGACCACCACCACTAGGCCAGATATTGGCAACACAGCTGGAATTCTGAGCCAAAAAGTAGGATCACCCACTGAACTGTAAACTTAAGTTGCCAGCTGACAGTTACCCTGAACTCATAGGTTAAATGGACATTGACTAGGCTGGGGACTCTAAAGAGTTTAAATCCACAGGTGTTTATTTTTCCTCATGTTTGCAAAGGCTCCCATTTCTTCGGGCAATTATAAACAGAATGGTGTACATTTATCTTCCACAATCTGAACATGCAGCTGCCTGCTACAGAGGTGTGCAGGGAGTTAGCCTGGCTCGATGAACTGACCAAAGACTTTGGGTTAGTGCAGGAGAGGACCTTTTGACTGATAGAGGACAACCAGAGTTGTCTGAAGCTGTCATGGAGTGAGAATTTTCACTCAAGAACCAAGCATATTGGGGGAATTTATCACCTTGCGCGTGAGGCAGTTCAAGATGTACTTGTAGAACTGGCTTATTGCCAGACAAAATAAATAACTGCTGATCTTCTCACCAAACCTCTACTGAGAGACAGTTTCCAGAATCTTCGAGTCAAGATGGGACTCAGGGTGGTTAATAAAATGTGCATGAAATTGTTATATATGCCTGAGAAGGGGGTTGTGGAGAAACGATGCTCCAGTCAAAATGTAAAATTCCATGTTTGCTGGATGAACAAAGGCTGAAGACACAAGGCATCCCCTGTAAATTCCTAGAGGGCACTCCGTGAGGTCACACCCTCTGCTTGGAGGGGCAGGAAAGGTAACAGTAGGAATATAATTCTTATTACCTCCTTCCTGCTCAGAGAACACCCTCTTTCTCACCATGCAGCTGTAGGATAGGATGTGGGGTCTGTGTGGTCCTGATCTAAATAATGTATTTTGTAATCTAGAAATGTACTTTGCCTGACTTATTTCACTGCTATTTTCTACTTGATTCGAGTCTGCAACTATGTAAGAAAACAATATTTTTATGTCCTTACATTACCGACTCCTGTGTTGTTATTTTATTTAGAGGAATAAATAAAGGAGAAGATTCAGTCTGCCAAAGGCATCCTGGATAACTATAACTAAGCTACACAGCTTAGTTCCTAGTTTCCTTGTCAAGGCTGTGAAGGATGGTATATTTTTAACTCTGATAACTACATGTGAATCTCACTCAAGCGAATAAAAAGAAAGATAGTTAATAAATAATATATCCTATCCCACCTTCCAAATCTATCCCAGCAGCTGCCTCTCTCCCCCTCTTGGTTCTGAACCATCCTAACTTGAGTCTTAAAGAAGGTCAGAGAAGCCTCCCAGCCAGGGGACATGATGCTGCTCCACTAAGCGCTTGCAAAGAGCCTGGAATCCCCCCTCCACACATACATCCCCATTTTACAGGCGCGAAGGGTGAGGCCAAGCAGGCAGTTCCCCTTCCACCTTTCTCCGCGGGACACGACTCTGAGTGCCTGCGCTCAGACTAAAAGGTCCCCAGAGATCTCCCGCTCTCCTCAGTCAGCATGCAGGGAACAAGTGTAGCATTCTCAAACAAGTTGTTGGGGCTGGGGTATGCCAGAGCGCGGCGGCGGCGGCGACGTGTCCGTGGCCGACTTGTCGTAGGTCCCAGAGAGAGTATGGGGCATGCTGGAGCCGTAGGCAGGGCGCTTGCTCACCTCGTTTGGGAGGCTGGACCGAGGACCAGGCACATCAGGAGAACTTTCCCAGCGCTCATCCTCAGGAGGGCGCTGCCCGAGCCCCGCCGCAGGCGCCTGGAGGTACTCCTCCACCTTCGGGGAGGCAGGCAGGCAGGCAGGCAGCCGGACCACCGGACGAGAAAGGCGTCGGCGTCGGCAGGAATCCCGTCCTCCTGGTCCGGACAGTAGCGCATCAGCCGTGGGGACGGCCTCTGCGGGGACGGGACGCGGGACTACAAGGTCTGGGCTCCGGGAGCGCAAACACTTGTGGCTGCCGCCGCCGCTACCAGCGAGCAAGGAAGAAGGAATCGGTGGAGAAGTGGCGGCGGCGGCAGCGAAGGGACCGGCATTCCCTCAGGAGGGTGCTTCGACGTGCTGGCAGCAACGAGCACAGCCGAGCGCAATCCGATCCGAACCCCAAGCCTGGAGGGCGCGTGAGTGGGGGAGTCGCGCCAAACCTCCGCCGAAGCGCGACTAGGCGCTGCCGCCCGTCGGGCGAGATCGACACGTCCACAGCCTCTCAGCCCAGCCCTCTCCTCGCTCTCTTGCTTGGGCTACCGACTCCTGGCTCCCCCTTATCCTTCGGGAGAGAAGGGTAAAAGTTTAGCATCGCGCCGCCTAGCCGCCCTCCGCTGTTTTGGCCCAGCAAGCGAAGTGTGTGCGTGAGACGCAACCGGGCCGGGCTGGCGGGCGTGCAGGAGAGCGGCTCCCATCCTACTGGGTCCTAACGCCCCATCTTCTGGTCTTGGGTGGAGGAAGGAGCCGGCGACATTGGCAAAGAGCAGCGTCCCCAGGCCCCCAAAGGCAGTGTCCCTCGATATGCCAGAGGGCTACTCCCGGGGGAAGGAGGGTCTGGACGAGCCGAAGGAAGCTAGAAGGGGCTGAGCGGGAAATGCTGGAAGGTCTTCACCCGCTGTTAGAAGGAGAGCAAGGAGGGAGCCAGTTTAACTTCTCTAGAGAGGGAATTCCAAATTTGCTTGTGAGCAGCTACCACTGAGAAGGCCTCTCCCATTCAGTGGACCTGTCAAGTCATGAAGCTCTCACAAATTTCTAACTACTTTGGGGGATATCATACACACAAGTGGCTACCAGCCATGATGGTTATGCTCTGTTTCCACAGTCAGAGGGAATAATGCTTTTTTCTACTAGTTGTTGGGAACTGCAGGGTAAGAGCAGAGCGCTCTTGTGATTGGGTTCTGCTTGTGGGCTTTTTCTGAGAGGAGATACGATAGCCATTTTCAAATATATATAAAGCACTGTCAAATGGAAGATGGTGCAAGCTTGTTTTCTCAACCAGCTACAAATCCACCTAACAGTTACCAAATTTTCTGCAAGAATATCAAGATACACTACATCCACAGAATTCCCCTGATCTACCAAGCTTGTAACTCTATCAAAAAGAAAGAGATTTGTCTGGCATGACTTGCTTTTGAGCAACTCATGCTGGGTATTAGTAATCACAGCATCCTTTTGTATGTGCTCACAGATTGATTGTTTAATTACCTGTTTAATTAGGACCTTTCCTGTTATCACTGTAAAGCTCACTGGACAGTAGTTACTGGGTCTTCTCCCCTCCCCCTTTGAAGACGGAGACAACATTTACCCGCCTCCAGTTTGCAGGGACTTCACCTGTTCTCCAAGAATTCTCAAGGATTATAGACAAAAGCTCCAAGATTACATCCACAAGCTCCTTGGCTTCAGCTCATCAGGCCCTGGAGATTTGAATTCATTTAAAGTACCGTAACTAGGTGTTCCTTTACCACCTCTTTTCCTATCTTCGGCTGCAGCTACTTCCTGGCATTGTTTATTCTGTTATCACTAGGTTTGGCACTGCTTTCCTTTTGGATGTAGACAGAGGCAAAGTAGGTGTTCAGCAGTTCTGCCTTCTCTATGCCACCCAATAGCATTTTCCCACCTTCTCCACACAGAGGATGTACTACTTCCTTGTTCTTCCTCTTGCTTCAAACATAGCTGAAGAAACCTTTTTTATTCTTTTTAACCTGTCTCGCAAGCCTGAGCTCATTCTGAGCTTTGGCCTGAGTGACATTCACCCTGCAGCTGTTGGCTATTCATGCATACTCTCCCTTTGTGATTTCCTCTTTCTTCAATTTATTATACATGCCCTTCTTAAATCTTAGCTCATCTCTAAGCTCCTTATGCAGCCCCACCATTTTCTTTAGATGCCTCACACTTCTCTTTCTTGTTAGAATTGTCTGCATTTGTGCCTTCAATATTTCACCTCTAAGAAATTCCCATCCATCTTGGACACCCTTCTCTTTTGATTATTTCTGACATGGGATTTCACCTGGTAGTTCCTTCAGCTTTTGGAAATCAGCCTTCTTAAAGCCCAGAGTGCATGCCTGACTACACTCAGCTTTCTTTCACCTCTATATAGTGAAACTCAGGAGAAAACAATTACTTCCTCCCAAGTTTTTTTAGTACTTCCATTTTGGTGATCAGTTCTTCTCTTTTGGTGAGGACCAGGTCCAAGACAGATGATCCCTTTGTTGCTTCTTCCACCTTCTGGGAAATGAAATTGTCAGTGAGGCTATGGAGCAATTTGTTGGACCTTACATTCATGGCAGAGTTTGAGTCCCAACAAATGTCTAGTCTCCCTTTTCAACTATATCTCTCCTTTTTGAACCTTTGGTAATCAGCTCTAGGAAGGCGTTATCCAAGTCTGGCTTGGCTATCTATGACAAACACCCACTGTAAAGTCACTATTGTTTCCTTCTCCTACAATTTTTACCCATATACTCTCAATATGCCTTCTGGGTCATGGGTCACTTTACAAGCAGAATGCTACTACTCCTCCCTTCCTGTTTAGTCTATTTCCTCTAATACACCTGTATTTCTACATTCTAGTCCTTAGTTTCATCCCACCAGGTTTCAGTAATGCCTACTAGGTCATATTTGCCATCCCGCATTAAAAGCTCTGATTTGTCTTCCTTGTTTCCCATACTCTGCATTTGTGTGAGACAATGATACCACGAGTCATTCTCTCCACCTGCTTCCTTCTTGTAGTTCCTTGCCTTTTAGCAGGTTTCTGGAGTACCACCTCAGTTTCCTGTGCATCAATGAAGCTATTATCCCCAGGGCCAGGTGTTCCCCTGTCATCTGTAGTGTTGCTTCCCTCGCCCTCGGGATTTAGTTTAAAGCTCTCCTGATCAGGTTCACAAGACTCTTAGCAAGCACATTCTTGCCAACTGCTGTGAGATACAACTCATCTTTTACAAGAAGGTCTTCCTCAAAGAAGCAGAGACTTGTGCTTTCCAACAACGGATCATGGAGGCAGAGAAGAGCCACTACATAAATTTTTCCAATACTGTTTTAAATCCATCAGATTTGGTGCCCATCACTGCCTCTCATGGGAGAGAATTCCATAGCTTATGTGCTGCATGGTAGTACTTCCTTTCATCCATCCCCAGCCTTCCAAAATTCACCTGCATTGGATGCCCATGAGTTCTAGTGTTATGAGAGAGGGAGGAAAACTCAGGCCTTTTCCTCAAGAGGTAGACTGGGGCTACAGCAGAGATAAGAAGTTCGAGAAGGCAGCTCATGGTGGCCTGGCAATGGCCTCATGTGGACAGTTGTTGCGCTGCTGAGTTCTGCAGTACAAGTGGCAGTTGACAGTCATGCTGCTCAGATTCACACTGATAATTCCAGTCCTTGGTGCAGGAAGGCTGAATCTCCCACCCCTTCCTGGCCAAGTGGTTTGTTGTTAAGGAGTGTCTTTTCTGTGTTTAGGTCACAGTCTTCTATTTGAGGAGCTCAAGGTTCTAAGCCCCAAACAAAATGAACTTTTCCATCCATTGCCCCCTGCTGTCTGTGCCCTCCCTCAAACTTGCCCTCAGTGCTTGTCCTCAATGGGCTCATTCTTATTGGGCAATGATGAGGCAAAATTAGGGTTCTGCATTGTTTGTCTCTTGGCAAATGTAACACCAGAGGAGGCAGGTGTATTTGGGCATCAGTCACCACCTGGTATTAGCCAGCCTTCACCTGCCTGCTGTCTTTCTTCCAACCAGTGCAGAAGATGGTGCTGCTTGTCAGCTTCCTTCTCCTTAAGCTCACTGTTGCCCTTTGTAGAATTTGGCAGGGAAGTGGAGGAGGAGGAGGAGGAGGAGGAGGAGGAGGAGGAGGAAAACTAGGATTAACTGGCTTTGCTGGTCACTGAATTTGGCTTCATTTGGTCTCTCGGCTTTCTGCCCTATTTGTTCCAAAGGATGCCAGCCTACAGCCCTGTTCTGTTGTATGATAATTGGAAGGCATGTTCTGGCACTGCTGCCCCTACTCACTGAAGGGTAACCTGGCCTGTGGACCTTTGAGAAGCCCAGCCGCACTGAGGTGATGATGACTCTGGGTGGAGCAATATGCTCAATGATGTAAGCATCTCTCCTGTCCTATGGTCCCTCTTCAAGGGCAGTTGTCCCACACCAGACAAGCCAGCTGGGAAGAACCAGCACAGAGCAGATGCTCTGTCCTGTCTTGCACATCATTGATCAGCCCTCCAGCTGGTCTCTGCTTCCAGCATCATTAGAGCCAGTGATGCTGCATGGATGAAGCAGGAAGGATTCATTTGGCTTCCAGGAGCCTGGTTGTGCTCCATGGGCTGACAGAGGGAACAGAAAGTGTTTTAGAAGTGCAGGTTGAGCAGTTGTGACAAGATGGAAATTCAGAAGAGATGGAAAGGGGAGGGAAGAAGTAGCTTCCCTCCTACTCTCTCTCCCCCTCCCCATATATCTGAGCACCTCTGTTCTTCAAGAGGGCCAACTCCCAGTGTAGAAAACCATTTCCCAGTAGAGCAGGCAAAGTGGAAAAGAGATAAGGAAACAGATGGCATCATGTGAGATTAAACAAAAGCATACATGGAGCTCCACCTAAAAACTCCTTCCCTTCACTGTTGTCAACAAATGTATCCTCTGGTGACTTTGAAATTTCCTGTGGTGTGGCTGAAAAATTGGTGTCTGAGTGCTTCTTCCCAGCATATCTAGGTGTTATTAGTAGGGCCCACACCCTATTATTTGTGGTGCAGATTTGCTAATTTCTCTCTCTCTCTCTCTCTCTCTCTCTCTCTCTCTCTGTGTGTGTGTGTGTGTGTGTCCTTCCTTCTCTGCTAAATTTCAGTTTGGTTTTGAAACATAGGAATGCTAGTGCTGCAAACTGTGGTTTACACCAAAATCACACATACCCTAATGCTCAGAATGCAAATAGTGGTGCACCTCTTTGCACAAATGATCACACATACGCAATTCACTCTATTTTTGACAGCACACACAACTGCAAATTGCTGTGTCACTTGGGTGTCTTCTCTCCTAATGTTTGCTAATCTTGTTTGTCACTCTTAAACTCAGGATAAATCTGTTGGTGGCAAAGAAAAACTAAACATATAACAGAGAACTCTCTGGATGGCAAAATACAAATTTGGAGCAAGTACTCTTTGGTCAGCGCTCCTGCAGATATTTAAAATCACAAAATATCCAGCAAGGTAAAGTGTGAAAATATATGCTGTTAGACCTTTAAAATATGCCCTTGTGAGTTCCTACCAAAGTTTCCCTCTTCCCCTAGCATAGTAAAAGGACCACATGCATGGTAAGTTAAAAACAAACTCTCCAGAAACATTACACAGGCAGTATAGCTTGGCTTAGTTAACAGTGTTGA